TACAAATTATAAAGGACTTTTGTTTTCCAATTTTCCTTGGACCTTGGAAAATGAAGAAAAACCTCTCTTTTGCTAACTAATTCCCTTTAAAAATAATATTACCTCATGATGTTTAATACTTACTGTATAACATTGATATGTTCATAACTATATGGTATAGTAGTGTATGTCCTGACAATACAGTTACCCAGCATTTTAACTTGTTTTAAAGGAGATGTAATGCAAGATACAGTACATTGCACTGTCAGTGTCAAATAATACATTGATCCGCTACCACGATCAATATTGTGTATAATACTGTGGCTCTATAAAATAACATCATGTTGCCTATGAATGGTTTCATACCTTGATCAATATTAGCTAATAATATACAACATTGCTCTGCTAAGTTCTTTCATTATTTATTTATTTATTTATTTATTTCAACAATCTTTAATGAGGGTGGTCCATCCAGCCGAAGCTGATCATTAGGGACCCTCAATACACATAGTAAGACAAAACAAAAGAGCGTATTAAACTAATTAAATTACAGAAAATAAATAACAACCTCTCAATACAAAATTTACAAAAAGAATTAATTCAAAATTAAATAAAAAACTTAATATAAAAATTAAAATAAAATTACAATTAAAGATGAAAATGAAAGAGCAATATTAAAAAATAATAGGCAAAGGGACATTAAAACAACAAAGGGAATAAAGTAGCCTAAATAAAATAATCAAATAAATTAAAAATAGATAATAGGCCAATGTATATGAGAACTATAAATCAAATCACTCTTAATTTAAAGAAAATAAATCAATTTAAATTAATAAATAAAGCAGAAAATAAATAATAAGGTACTCTAGGTACTTGCAACCTCCTCTAAGAATACAAACTCAGGCTTGCTTTAATTAAATACCTTAAAAGGAATTTGTTGGTTGTAATATTTCCAATGTCAATATTTATTATTTTTACACTTTTTATTATTTTTACACTATGTCAAATATTAAAACAGTATATTTTGCATGCATACAGTATCTATAAATTTCAAAGCTGATATAATTTATTATTGTTTTTCTAAATTTAAGTTTATTTGATTTTATATTCACATTTGATTCTCATATCCAGAAACCAATGACCTACCACTTTGAGGATGGAATCGACTCTCAATTAATGCTGCCCTACAATATATATACACCAAATTCTCAAATGAGGTTTAGAAGTGAAGTTATTTTTTATTTAATACCCTTAGATTTGATGTCTTGTCTTGAAAGTTTTGCCAAAAACATCCAGATGAAGGAGAAAAAAAATTCTTTGGTAAATGTAAACAGGGTAGTAATGGGATGTTTGCCTGTAAATGGTTTAAATTTATGTAATTAGGAAGAAATATACATATCTTATTTTTGCAGATTTCAAGGCAGCAATGGGTGTAATATATATTTTTAAAAATTTTTATTTTTTTCTGAAATTTCCTTTTTTTTTTGTAGTGGCTGATTGGCCAAAAATAAAATTTCATTGTTATTTGACATTATCATTATTGTCTGGCGGTATGTTCGATAAATAAGGTATAATATGTTGCAGTAAGCAGTGAAATCCCATCAGCATTCCAACCGTTGAGATCCTGTAAAAAAAAACAAATTTTATGTTTATAATTAACGGAGTACTAGGAAGATGTTAAGTTCCATGTTTTTGCCTGATGTCAGGTACTATAGCACAAGGCATATTGGAGTCAATATGAAGTCTAATGTACTGTAGTGGTAATGTTTCAAAGCCAGATCTAGTGGTATTCAATGCCAGACTCAACAACAACCATTACAAACACACAGAGCCAGACCCAGGGGTCACCGTGTTGTCAATAAGCCATACCCAGTGACAACCACATTGTGGCGAAGCTAGACCCAGGAATGTTCCAAGTCGCAAAGCCAGATCGAGGGACAGTCAAAATCATATACAACGCCATTATTACTAGCAAGCTGTCATCTCTCTGATGATTTAATTCACCGACATGCTAATTTTGAGTGAATAATCAATACATTCACTTGTCATACTTGACTGTACTATCTTGGTGATGAAAGGTAAAAATTAAAAATACACATGAAAATATGCCTATAATGAAATTATATGTTTATTGAAAAAACATACTCTGTGCAATGGTATTAATTTTTTAATTTATTATCATTTATAATCTACAGAGTTAATAATTAGTATGAGAGTTTACTTCCTTTACAGTTACTTATTAATTAAGCTGTTTTTTTTTTTTTTTTTTTTTTTTTTTTTTTTTTTTTTTTTTTTTTTTTTGCAAATTCATTGTTAACGTTAGCTTCCGCTTGCATATATGGTGAAAAGGTTGGATACTGTGCTGTAGCATTTTTGCATAGTATTGACCACTAGGCACATCAGTAGATAAGATAAGATTTCAATTAAAGCCTCATTGGACGAATATTTGTGCTATACTCATACTGCATACTACTATGCATATTAACACATACATGTACTGTAACTAGAATTTTTGTAATGATTTATGTGTTAATTATAATGTATCCATTTGGAGTTTTTGTTGTTCAAGTAAAGATAACCAATTATAAGCATAATTCAAATCCTAAGCATACTGTTTTCTAGAAAAAGGCAAACATACAGTACTGTAGATGACCTTAATGTTACCACGACCCATATAGATATTGTATTGTAATTTGTATAGGCAAAATGCCCACTCACTATAAGCACTAGCTTGTTTTGTTCTATGTGGTCTGGATTCAGGTTACACTGAATACTGTAGTAGCATATTGTTCCAACCATATTGTTCAACCGCGTTCAATATGCACTGATTTGTGATAGATCGATTGCAATCAATATGCGACCAGCCATCCATTGAGATTACTCATGCACAACAATTTTTATTGTTACAAGAAACTTTACCTGGTAAATTCAAACAGTGAAAGTAATCAGGTACAGTAGTCAGTGTTTGGTAGTACTGTATATAGTATACGTGTATTTTTTTTCTAAATCTGAGTCAGGTACCATAATTGTGTTTTTTCATTAATAACTATGTAAAATTCATGATTTGCTTTAACATTTGCTTCAACTTACTATATTGTCAGAATTAAATATTAAATATATTTTGGTCACTGTTTAGTATATACTGTAACAGCTGTCACAGTGCACAATTTTCATTGAGTAAAAAGAATGTGACATGGAAGAGTTTTTTGTTAATTAGTTGATGAGAGCATATTAATTAGCTATGGGAAGTTGATTTAGCTTATTTTCATGCTTTCATTAATTACTTTTTTCACCATAACAGTTCGATATAAATCTTATCTATAAATTGGATTCTCCAAAACTAAAACATGTTCTAAGTTTTATCGCCAGTTTGAGACCCCTCTAATTCCGAGATACCTCTAATTCGAGACCACTTTTTCAAAGAACCAAATAACAACCTTTAATCTCTTAACACAAAGCTAACCTTCTATTTGGAGACTGAACCCCGAGACCACCCCAAGTTTTCAGGTCCCATAGGTGGTCTCGAATTGGAGGGCAAACTCTACTTCATTAGTAATGGTGTAAAGTCCTGTATCTTTTTCACTTCAATCTGAAAAATTCTGCAATTATTGCACCTATGATCAATATTTATATTTCATAGAAAACCTCATTGGTTTATTTAATATTTACTTGTATTTATTAGGGCACATAGAAAAAATTATTAGATAATCACTTAAAAAAATAAATAAATGATGAGGAAGAGCTGTTTTTTTTTTTTTTTTAATCGGAAAAATAGATTATTTCGCTTTTGTTTTTATTGATGAGGGAAGGACTTTATATTTTGGCTAGTATTAGTAAATATTGTATTAAAACTGGTTTAATTTTATAGTTTTTTTAAAGAAAATGTATTTGAAGTCTCAAAATTGCATTGTTATTCTCATGCTGTTGAAATAATTGATGCGGCAAAAAATTTTTTAATTCCCGCATCAATATTTCCCTAACTTTTGACGCAGGCAGGAGTGATAATATAATAATTTTTTCTATTTCCCCTTAACCAAATTTATTTTTAAAAAAACTAAAAAAACAAAACATCATGCAAATGCTTAAAATTGTATGTGTTCATAAAAGATTATACAAAAATACTATGGTTAACACCATTGGTTTTATACTTAACTATGTGTCCCTTTTTTCTATTTTGTATTTTTTCATATTCTTATTTGATGTCAATTTTACATATAATGCCTAAAGAGATGAAATGAAAGTAGAGTAGATCTGAATGTTTACAACTTCAAAAACAAGGGGAAATGAGTGGTTACTCAGCAGACAGCAACCATAGTTAAATGTGTAGACCATGACAAGCCAAAGAATATCAGCAAATATCAGGACATCCACAACATGCAGGCAGATGTATATGAATATATTATGTACTGTATATGCTATAACTTTTTGTTTTTTAAAAAGTGTAAAAATGTGTACAGTAAATCATTCTCTAGATATTCAATTGTCATACTGTTGCACTTATGATGACACTTCTATTAAGTTTTTTAGGGCAAGTATAGTGTGCAGAAGCCTCTCTGAGTTGAGCCACAATTAATAATTTGAATTATTAGTTTTTGTTATGTTACAGTAATAAACTGTACTTATAATAAATAATGTCTTTTATCAATCTTATCAGAAATGTTTATCTGAATTGAAAAAATTTAATCCTTTTTTAATTGGGAACTAAAATTTACCAAATTATGGCTAAAAATGTTACATGAGTTGAATGAGAATGTATTGTACAGTAGTTATATTTTAGACACAGAAAGACTAGTTGATGGGCAAAGTGAGCAATAGAATTAATAAATGGTACTGGAATTTAAAGGTTTAGTAAATGTGAATGATGTTTACAGTTGGTAGCATTCGACCCTTGAACCTGTACCTTTACTACATCCACATGAACATAGTCTACATTTCAATACAGAATTTTTGAATACAGAATTTTTGATAGGGTCAATAATTTAGCATCTGCTAATAAGCACAATATTTTTGTGATTTCACAGGTAAAGTGGAAGCCTCTTCAGGCCACCTTGTTGACTTGCTTCAACGTCGTCTCAGCAATGAACACAAACAGAACATTGAGGTTTGTCTATATTTGTACATCTATCTCATTGACCATCTACTTGAACTTCATTTAAATGATGACCTACATATACAGCATATGTGATCTTGTTATTTTAATAGGCAACAATAATATTCACCAGAAAATTTCAATGAAACATTATTATGTAAAAATAATTATATTAACATACTTTGTTATTCAAATTCAAGTTCAAATTACTTACTGTCATAACATATAATATGCTGGCATGTTTTTTTTTTCATTATAAACTGTCTCTTATACACATCTAGATGTGTATAAGAGACAGTAATAATAGTGTGTAATGTAGCGGTACCAGTTTTATTGGAAATGCTCATGATGCAAACAGGTGAAAAATGAAATTAATCCTGATCCAAATTTTAGAGAAAAATAGGGTGAAAAATCAACCGTGGTGAAGGAGGCTTCAGGAGTTCTTTTGCTTGCTTCGTTGTAGCAAGTCATTAATTGCCACAAGGATGGAATATGATACTGTATATAATGCTCTATTTTGAACTTAATCAATTCACACAAGACAAAATGTTACACAGGATGTTTGCTATAAAGGTAGAACTTACCACTAACTATTCCCTGATCTTACCAAAATCACTGTTATCTTCACAATTCATACCTTGCTAAAATTTGGTATGATAACATGCAGTGAAGATACAGTATGTGCAAACAACTGGGAAAGATAAACTGCACCCTTTGAGCATGCACACAGATCCTTCCATAATATATCGTCTGTGCCTCTGCTATTGACATGGATATTAGTTACTGTACATGGGAAGCATATTATACAGATGTGCTTTCACACTGATGCTACAGTAGTAGCAGGAGATGTTTGCTAATGTTCTCTTGCATGTGTCCTGTGTAACATTCTGTCTTGTGTTAATCAGGTAGTAGTCTCATGGAGTTGTTTCTGATTGTGAAAATTCTTAAATGTGGAAGATTTACACCCACTACTCAGGGATTACAGAAGGCATTCACACTAACAGGCTATCTCTGATGATGATGATGATGATGATGATGATGATGATGATGATGATGATGATGATGATGATGATGATGATGATGATGATGATCAGGGTCCTGTGTCCACTACCACTATCAATTCTTCATCATTTTATCACACAGTAATTATACCAGTCATTGATAGTCTCTTCATTATTGGTATATTTTTTATTGATTAAATAATAACAATAGCCTTTAGAAAAAGATTGTTAATGTATTATAACTATTCTGAACTTCAGACTTTGGCACAGGAGTGGGATGAAAAGTATATCAATCAACTAGAGAAGTTACGTCAGGAAACAGAAGAGAAGTACAGGAGAACACTACAAGAGACTGAAGTTGATTTCACAGAACAACTTCAAGCAAAGGAAGATCAATATCAATGTGACATCAGTTTGCTTATAAAGGAACGAGAGCTTCTGGTGGAACAAGCAGAAGGTAAACCAAAAGAAAAGATAGGGAAAAAACATTTGATTAGGGTTTTGATCATGTATTACAAGTAATTGCCATCCCAGCAGTGTAGTATAATCTTCAAATGTACTCTCAGAAGATTGTTTTCTTCAATTTAAACATATGTTCTTTGTGTTTTAGCTGGAAGAAGGAATCTTCAAGCAGTTCACCAGGAACAGATGGAAGATTTAAAGTCCATGTTGCAAACCGAGTATGAAAAGTCGGAATCACTTCAAGCCAAAGCAAAGATGGAAGACAAAGCAAAACTTGAGGACAACAATCAAATGAAAGAGGCCCATGATGTAGCTGTCCAAGAAAAAGAAAACATTCTGAGAAAGTTGCATGAACTAAAGGAAGAGCTGGAGAAGCAAAGAGTTATTGCAAAAGATGACCTCAATGAACTTCAGAACAAGATGACAAAAATACATCAGAAAGAACTGATGGATGTGAAGGAAAAATATCAGAAGCAATTTGAAGAGAACAAATCTGCATGGCTAAAAGAAAACGAACAAAGGAAAGGCACTTGGAATGAACCAGCAGAAAACTATAGAATTCCTGCCCAGAAGCGTAACTACACGTCCATGATGACTCTTGTTCATCTCTCAGACAGTGAAGAAGATGAGGCTGCACCTCCAGCCCCACGGACTTCACCTCCAAAATTCACTCAAATTGAAGCTGAAATGAAGGAACAAGTGATGGAAAAGTTGCGGGAGGAGTTCAAGGAGAAAATGGATACCATGAAGGATGATATGGAAAAGGAACACCAGAAAGAACTGGTTCAGCAACAAATTCAGATGGACTTGAAATATGATGCGGATTTAAATAGTGCTAAGAATATGCTCAACTCCAAGAGAGACAAAATGAAACATGATCTTGAACAGGAGCGTGATGAAGCATTAGAAAACCTGCGCCATCAGCTTCAAGATAATCACCAAAAGCAATTGGTGAAACTACGTCTTGAGTCAGCAGCAGAGACAGCAAGACAAGTTGAAGAAGTAACTAAACAGGTTTGTTATCTTTGAAATAACTATAGAGTTTGTCTATAGAGTTTGTCTACCTTTTACAATCATTTGCATAAAATATTATAATCATCCAGATGGAGTTTTTTTATGGGAATTATTTTATCTTGTTAAATATTAGACTATCGTCTAGTTGATGAGTCTACTTGTGAATTATTTTTAATGGCAATAGGAGCAAACATATATTTTAATGAGTAATATATTGTTAAAATATATAATTAAATGCATTTTTTTAATGATAAATATAATCTTATAATTGCTTTAGGTTCAAGATGAAATGAAGAAAGAGAATGCATCAAATCTAAAGACAATTCTTGAAGAAAAAGACCATGAACACAAACTAGAAGTAGAACAACTCCGTGAAGACTTAGAACATGAATTCCAAACTGAACTCGGAGGCCAACAAACTGAGTTTGAACTTCAGAAGAAAGTCGAAGTTAGAAAAACAATCGCAGACTGTGAATCCAAACACTCTAAAGAACTAGATGAAGTCAAAAAACAATATGAAGAGAATCTAAATCAAATAAGAAATGAAGCAAAAGAGAGTATAATTGAAAACACAGCTGCCATGCTAACCGAATTAGCTATTGAGCATGCTCAGAAAATGGAGAGATTTGAGCAGCTTGTCAACAGCAAAGAAAAAGAGGATGAGGATTGGCAGAAGGTTGTTCAAGGTATGCAAGAAAGACATGATGTAGAAATTGCTACAATGAAGCAACAAATGGAAGAAATGTCAAATACTGAAGGTTTATTGGAAGAGATTGAAAAAATAAAAAAAGAAGTGAAGGAGAAAACAGCTGAGCTTAATGACTTCAGGATGAGTGTAGAGCAAGGAACTGCTCCTGAGATACAGGTGATGAAAGAAGCAATTGATGATCACTATGATAACAAACTGGAAGTACTTAAGACAACAATGGAAGAGGAACTCCTTGAGTTGACAAGAACAATGCAGGAGCAACAAGTGAAAGAATCGGAAGAGTTCCAGAATGTATTAGCTGTCAATCACCAACACATGATTGACAAATTTGTTGATGAGCAAAAGGTAGCCATCGAAGAAAAGAAGAAAGAACATGAAAATGAATTGGAAGAGCTTAAAGAACAAACTAAATATGAGACTAAAATTAGGATAGATGCTTTAGAGAAGGAGACAGAACAAAAGTATGTGGAAGAAAAAAGGGAGTTACAAGAAGAGTATGATGGAAAGATAAACAAAATAAAAGAGGAACATGCCAGCGAATTGGCATCCATTGAACAAGAGTTTGCTGAGAAATTAAAAGAAGAGAAAGAGAGGCTCGAACAAAAAATGGAACAACAATTAGCTAATGTTAAAGATATTGATGATGCTCTAGAGTTAATGAAGGCTAGACATGCTGAGGAATTAATTGAAACAGAGAACAGAGTCAAAGATGAATTGATTTTATCACACATGGAAAAGTTTCGTGCTGTAACAGACCAGTTAGAGGAGGAACATAAAAATGAATTAGAAACTGTACGGAAAGAAGTCAGGGAGGAAACTGAAAAAGATTTTATGAACAAATTCGAAGAAACTTTAGCTTTGCACCAAGAAGAGTTAAATACACAGCAGGAGACTTCTAAAAAGGAGCGGGAAGAGATGAGAAGAGAATATGAAGATAAACTTGTAGCTATGTCAATGGAATCAGATGAAAATATTGAACGCTTCAAACTTGATCTAGAGGAAGCTCATAGTCATGACCTTAAAGAACTCCAAGAAAAGCTAGCCAGTGAAAAAGTTGGTGATGTTGAAAGGCTTGAAAAGCAGCAGAGTGAAGAGATGGAAAACATAAAAGAGGAAAATAGATTGTTAGTTGAACGCTTAAAGAAGGATTATGATCAGAGAATGCTGGAACTGGCGGAGGAATTAAGGAATAGGCATGAGGAGGAGAAAGAAGATGCTCTTTCAAGACTGGAGGAAGAACATCAGAAGGAGAAAGGTAAATTTAAAAAAAAATAATGTCTTTTTACAATTTACATATTGTTTTCTGTCAAGATGCCATAATGTGGTTTCTAGGTGAGTTGTGTTATGAACCGTGGCAGTGTTTTTGATAAATTTAATGTCATGAATGGATATTTAATAGTAATACAACAAAATTTAGCCACTGGTGCTAGAACGTAAACCCCTGTTGAATACGATAGGCTTAGCTGAAGGGGAGAAGATGTATGTACACCCTCTACCCGACTTTGTTATATTATATAAAGTGATTGAGGTGTAAATACTATACAGATGCTTTTAAATTTTATATCAAGGATTAAAAGCCAACAATACATATATGGATATATAAGCATTCGGTTATAGTATTTAATATATTTATAAAGGCACTTTATGTACATAGAATCCTGTTTGAATTTAAAAACTTAAATGTCACAAACAATAGTATAACATTTCTGAAAACATTTTAGCAGTATGTACTGTACTACTGTTAACCATCTTATAATACCTTGAAGTCATTAGCCATGTACTATGAAAACAGTTGTCTTTTGTTAAACTGCAATATAAACATTAAACTCTTTTTTTATAGATGGCATATACAGTAGTTGTACTGCAAGTATATATAAACATTAAACTTAATTTAAAAAAAAATTTTTTTTAGGAGAATTGGATGTTCATGTTAAAGAAACAGAAGCAAAATGGCGGCTGGAACTTCAACAGAAAGTGAAAGAACTGAATGAAAATCATTCTCAGGACATCATTGTTATTGGTGAAGAAATTGAGAAAGTAAGTCTATTACTAAGACGGGCACACACTGTGTCTGGCGGTATGGCTGTCGACAAATCCAACAATGTGATACCATCTGCTGATAGTTGATGGCAGGCTGGGTGGACCGTCATTAAAAACGATCCATTCCGCATTTCTTGTCACCTTGTGTTAGCCAACAAATTGCGTCGGGCTAAAGACCATCGCTGCAGTGTGTGCGTGGCTTTTATATTCTGGATTCTTAGGCAAGGCACTTTACCTCCAGTTGTCTCTCTCCACCCAGGAGTACAAATGGGTACCTGATAGGTTAAAAAATGAAATGCGCTGATTACAGTTGTAACATTATGGATTTCTCCTCAGGGAGCTGAGTATGTGTTCCATATGTGCTTGCTCCAATGACCGGGGGTAATAATGTTAAGCACATAGATGTCTCTACGATATGTGCTCCATAAGTCGACCATTATTATTATTATTATTATTATTATTATTATTGGAATGAAAGTTAGCCCCTGAGAGAAAAGCAATCAGATAGCATGTGTTCTTTCATTGAAACAAGCACAATGTGAAATGATGTCATAACCTCAACACTTTTTTTCCAATAATAATAATAATAATCATTTTCATATGGACATAACAAATTTATGACTTTGCTAAATTTGCTTGGTGATTTCTATTGATGTGTAAAAAATAATTTATTGAAATCTGTAAGGGGAATGCATTCACCCGTAGCAGAAGATTCAGGAAACATCAACATTGTGTAAAATAATTTTATATAAATCAAAATTTAATTTATAAATCAATATAAAAAGGTATCAAAAATGTGAATAGAGTGGCAAATAATATTGATAATTCAAACCTTTTAAAAAGTTTTATTTATAATAATTTTATAGATGTAAATTTTTGTGTTTTATAGCAACATTAAACCCAGGCTCCAGAGCAAAAACATTTTTGATATGTTGAAGTACAAATGATTTTTCTAAGACTTTTAAAAAAACTTTTAAATGGTTAATGACATACTGATTTTTGAATATTTAAAAACTGGGAGAAAAGGTGGAAAAGGATGGTTATGACCCATTTCTCCTCCCCTTCCCCCACCCAAAAATAAAAAATCTGTATCTCATTAAACCGCTTCCAAGTTTTTTGTCTAATGTTTTTGTGTATTCAAAAAATCAGTTGTACAACATATCATAATTTTTTTCCCTACAAAGCCTGGCTTTAAGAACTGCAATCACAAAAACTGTTTAAATTGTCAAATCCGTATTTTAGTCACAACCTAGAGTGGGATCAGATGACAGGGATCCATGTTTGTCCTCACACTGATGCTGGCACTGTATTTAGTGACAGGCAGTATATATTTTTTTATATATAATTTAATGTTAATATCTATAAACCATAAGATGTGGATCTAGATAATTAGACCGTATTACAAATTAGTGATTTAAAAATTTGTGACAAATAAGAATGCCAACAACAAAACGTAAAACCTCAAATAGAAGCGTCCTGGGCTTCTTTTTTTTCAAGGACCTGGATGGGCTTCTTTTTGAGATGGGTCTTTTTTCAAGATGGGCTTCTTTTTTAGATTATTTTGCAAACTAAAGAGGGGCTTCTTTTCAAAATGAATGCTGTAAATTTTGCTACTATATGACATTTTTCAACTATGAAATTCTGTTTAATATTTTTTTAGATTTCAACCATGCTAGTATAATAAAATAATATTGATACTGACACCCTATCATATTGATCAAAGATAATGTCAGTTTGAATGTCAATTGTACTATCTCAAATAAAGCTCATCTATCTTGATTAGAATCCCATGGGCTTCATTTTGAGATGGGCTTTTTTCGAGAAATATTTTGCAAACTGAAGAGGGGGGGATCTTCTTTTTGAGGTTTTTATAGTACTAAAATACAAATAAACAAATTTGAAAATACAAAATACACAAATATATAATATAGGTCTCCCTCCAATTAAAGACCACTTGGGGACTGGGGTTTCCATGGTCTTTAGCAGCTTTAAAGATAAAAGACATTAATTTGGAGGTGGTCTGTAATTAGAGGGAGACCTGTAATTTAATATTATTGCTCACCTTTAGCCAGTAAATAATAAAAAATATATAAATCAATGAATGTATCATTTGGATTGCAGAGTTACAGACCCTATATAGGTACAGTGAATCTATTATTGATGTGTTTCTGGTAATACACAGAGAAAGTTAAAATGCTTTAGCATTTTTTTAAAGAAAATTTATTTGGGCCATACCGTAATCTTTTTATGAGATGGCCAAATGTTTCCTGTAGTGGTACTATATGTTTCCTTCTTTATTCTGGAATCCCTCAGTGCTGAAGCTTCAATAGTAATTACCAATTTCCTCATGTCTGGGTTGTACCATTATTTAAACAGGGAAAACATTTGTCCATAAAATTAATTTTAGTAAAAGTGGAATTTTCAACTATAGTATCAGTAATATTGTAGACTTGGTGTATTTGGGAATTATTTGATAAAAATACTGTATTTGTTAGAGAATGTTATAAGATTCTGGTTAATAAGAAACTTGGTGGTTGCGAATATTAACTGTCAAATCATAGTTTTTGATGGGAAGTTTCCTAATGGGATAATCCCTATATCTGTTGCATTGGACTTTCACCAAGTGCTTTTGACACAGAAACCAGCAATGCAAACCTTGTTGATTAATGGAACAATCCACATGAGCATTCGGCAAATTCAAGTAATTTTCTTATTTCACTACTTCAGCTTCGTGAGGAAAATAACACACTTCTGAAAAAAGCAAAACAATATGACACGCTGATCAACAGACGAGAACGTGAAAACGAAGAAAGTGACAATCTATTGGCCATGCTTAGAACTGACCTAAACAGGATCAATGGCGAGAGGTAAGGATGTTATGATCAGTCGTTCAGGGACATGTATTACTGAAGAGCCTAATGACATTTACACAAGGTTTTATGATTATGATTGAATGTCGCTTGACACACATACAAATACTAGGTAAACAAATTCGCTTTTTTGTATTTAGAAATGTATTTTTTATTTTCAATTGAGGAATATGATGTATAATATTTTATACATTAATATATTGCTTATCTTTTTGTAATCCACAGAGATAACATTCAGCAGGCCAATGACCATCTTCTGCGAGTCCTCAGCCAATCTATCCAGGTCACTATGGCAACAGAAGAGACAATTAATCGTCAACTTGCTAAACTACTGGCTTCCACTGAGGAGAAGATGCCAGGCAGTTTTAAGCAAGAAGAAGAGGAGGGAAGAGGTGCAGAAGGTAGAAGAGGTGCAGAAGGTAGATCAGCAGCAGAGGGAGAGGATTCAAGGCTAGGTGCTGTTGGAGGTACAGTAACATTTAGGTTTATATATTATCTTGTAACTAAACACAAAGTTGATAGTTTTTATATTGTGCATGAATATGCATAAACTGCAAGTTCAAGCTTACCACTTTGACTGCAAGTTCAAGCTTACCACTTTGAGGCAGAAACTGGAAATAATGAACCTGAAGGCCTAGTCAAGTCTAAGGTTTGGTTCATCATAATTTCATAATACTTATCTGAGTGTAAAATTTTCATTCCAAAACATCTGAAGTTTAAGGATTAGGATAGGGTGGCTTATACTCAAGTAACTATGGAATTACTTTGAATGGAAATACATATTTTTTACATCATGTTTGTGAGCCAGTCAGTATTTATTGTTACATACCTTCCGAAAATTCAAACATGCTGACTCAATTTTTGCAATTGGACCATATGTTACATGTTATTAAAATTCTAAAATGTTTTTTTTTTTTAAAGTAATCTGTACTTCTCAGCTATAACAACAAAAATATGATCATATGGTGGTGAAGGTTGAAAATAACTTCGAGTATGAAATTCATTGTGTAATGTCATTTGCTATAATATTTTTTACAGATATTTGTTAGTGATGTGCTGAAATGTATTACATATTTTTTTTATTTTAGGTGCACCGTTGTCTCCTACTGGAGGCCGCCACCATCTAGAATCTCCCGACGGCATGCAGGACACCAGCATAGGTTCAATCTACAGTGATGAAGGCCTAGAGCTTTCACAGCAGCTGGCTGAGAGCATCTTTGCTGGGCCAGACTTGGATGCTGAGGGTGAAGAGCTTGTATTGGGTGAGCTTATGCTATACATAATTTCCTGGTTAATGAAGTAATTGACTATAATGCACATTTATTGCAAAATTGATTAGATGATTATATTGCATTTAATTTTTTTTTTTTGACATATAGTATAATTGTATTATACCAATACACCTATTTCCTTACCCATACTTGCACAGATTGAGTCACATAGACGTTGACAGTATATACCAATTTTAATTGTCAGCGTTCTTGGTTTTTTCCAGGTGCTAATGGCCGTCTGCAGTCGGCTGTGGAGAAGCTGCTGGAAATGATGGCAGCGACCACCCAGCAGCTTCATCAGGCACGAAGCATGCAGACTGAACTGCTAGATGCAACTATGAGCAGCCAAGATGAACTGAGCCAGCTGAGAGATCGCCAACAGCAACTGCTGCAGCAGGTGAAAGAGGAAGTTGAAGAAAAGGAAAGAGTCAGCAGAGAGCTAGATAGCAAACAAGGTACAGTATGTTTAGTACTTCAGATAAAGATAAATACTATAAAGATTAAGTAGGTACAAAATGTTTGTTCATTGTCATTGGGCATGTACTTGCTATCAATCAGAATTTAATATATTAGCAATCAAGTGTTGCAGTAGTCCACTTTCTATAAATGACCTGCAAATGAGACTTATTTCGTTGTTCTCCCATCGAACTTAAAATTATTGAACAGGTTTGTTAGATGGATATACTGATGAGCTAAGCAAAGTACAGGCCAGTCAAAATCCACAATTACAGACATTGTTAATAAGGACAGCTGAACTTGAGAAAGAGCGGGACCAAATCAGAGAAGAGAAGAAAATACTTGAAGAGCAACAAAAGGCATTGGGGGAGGAAGATATGGGTAAGAAAAAAAAAGAATTTATAGTTATTGTTTTTTAACAATTGTTTCTTCCTTAAAAAAAGTATTGCTAGCAATACAAGAGTATTGTAAGTATCAATAGATTAATGTTACATTGGTCTGATTAAATTAAAATTCTAGTATAAGCACCAAAAATGTTTATTACTTCCTTCAGCATCCTTATATGCAAATTCTTCCTGCTCGCCATTGCAATAAGTTGATTGTTGTTACATTTTTTCTGGTATAATTGGCATACAAGATGAAATATATTTATCTATCCATGCTTGACTGAATTTCCAGGTCTTGGCGAGCATATTTATTTATTCAAATTATTATAACAAATTACTGTGACATAATTGATATTAACTATCGTTGATTGAATTCCTCTTAAAACAACCCTTTCAGGATTGATAGAAGAGAATTCCAGACTGCGGCAGGAAAAGCTGTGGCAGGAGCAGCAGGCCCAAAAGGACCGGATGTCCACGGAACAGCAGTTGCATTCAATGGAGTCTCAGCTTGTAGAACAGATAAACAAGACAGACAGCTTAGCAGAGGAGAAGAAAGCAATGAAAGAAGAGTTTGAAAAACAACTTGCTGCTTTACAAAAACAACAAAGATCAGATAAACAGTTCCTTGGGGTACGTTCAAATTTGTGTATTGTATCTAATATGTATGAGGCTCCTAATTATCAGCAATGCTGGAAGAGCTACCCTCTTAAATTAGTTTTAATATATTATTAAAATAAGCGCAATCATTTCAAACTTGTTGTGTTCAACAAAAGATAATTTAGAATGCATTAGTTTGATATTTCTGTGCCTTCTGATATTAATCAGTGGTATCTGGATTTAAAAATTGGATTCAGCGCAGTGGTATCATTCTATGCTTCCATTGAAAATACTGGGCAAGCATATTTAACCTGGTATCTCAGAAAGCTAAGCATTTTTTTTTTATATTTTGGGATTTTGGATTCGTTTTATTCAACCAGATTTGTCATAAATTGTTCTTTTTTAGGCGCAAGCAAATGAAAGGGAACTAGAGAGAGAGGAGTTTCAGAAAGAGATTCGTCGTTTAGAAAATGAGTTAAAGAACCGAGGCGACAAGGCTCCTAGTAATGAACACCTGGTAAAAGAGGTAAAGTACACGTTATTAGTTAAACGCATCTGGCTAAAAAAATTTAGACACATACTCAAGCGAGGAGGTAAATACAATACACATGTAGTTAGATATAATATAAGAACATACTTTATGTGGTGATTTTCTGTGTATTTTGTGTGTGTCAGCTAATAGAATAGTAACAACCTTGACTTCTAGCATAGAAAAACATTTACGTAAATAATGCTATCAAATTCTGATAAAATATATTATTATGTCTGACAGATAAATATCTGAGAGTATGTTAGTGAGAGACCCAAAGATAAAATACAGTGAATAATGTGATGTTTCTTTTTTCTTTTTAAGTTGCAAACTACAGGATATAAACACCTTGTTTATAGGTCTAGATACTAAACAGTGATATTCCCTACAGTGAAAAAAATACCCCGTGTATATACAGCAGTGTGGCTCATTTTAGAAATGATTCAAAGTTAATTTTGCACCCATTTTCTCAAAATCAAGTTGACAACTACTTAGTCATGCCAAAAAACAGGAAGTTAGGTCCAGTGATTAAGCTAGGCTCACAACTATTATGTTTAAAAAGTATTATAAAAAGTAAAAAATAAGAGTTAACTTAATTTTATGGGTTATTCATGGTTTCTATCATGTATGGACCCATATTTTTCCTCATTCTTTCAATATATATATACAGTAATTAATAAATGTTACGTATTTTAATAGCATGTTTAACAATTGGAAGTCCATGTGGAAATGTTGCAACAATGCCAACTCAGGTCGATAGGTCCATATTTTATTTCATTTATTTTTTGTTCAATCGGCCCAGGGACTGCATTAGCAACAATGAGTCATAATGCTATGGATGTGGTGCTTGCAGTACATGAAACATGCAACGAATCACAATACAGTTATTTCATTAACATTGTTGTACAACACTGCTAGCAAAATTAATAACAATTATAAAACAAGTTGCAACTATTCTAGTTAAGCATAAATGCATTGAACATGAATCCAACAACCTGTCTCTTACTCATTTATACTCTTATAATTTGAAAAAAATCTATGCAAATTTATCCCATTTGTTTGAAGTTCAAACAATTTAAATTTATTGATTACTAATCAACATATGTTTTATATTTATTTGAATTAGTTGCAAGACCTTCGTGATGAGATTGGAGACAAAGTTGAATTGCAGCAGGCCACCGAAGAGAGAATCCAGCAATTGGAGAATGACCTTTGCTGGAAACAAGAAACATCTCAGGAACTTGCGAGCCAACTGCGAGAGCTGGAGCAGAAACTTGACCAACAAAAACAAACTGAACAGGAGAATAAACAACAGGAGGAAGAGATGAAGAAGGAACTCGAGAAACTGAGACAGGTGGAAGACGAGTTGACAAATGACAAAGATGTTCTCCAGCAGCAGTTGCAAGATAGTCTGATAAAGCTGTCGCGGTTGCAATCCCAATTGGAGGTAATCAAACATGAGAATCTGGCGCCGTCTCAGGTTGATAGTCAACCGGCAGTCTCATTGGCTGAACAGTTATCCACAGAGAGAGAAGCTAGTGAGAGGAAACAAAAAGAAGTAAGTTCGAATATATTTTTAAAATCTGTTATAATTCTCTGGAACACATATTAGGCCTACTTTGTGACAGTTGTATTGTAATGGGTTGGGACAGTGATACCCAACATATTTTAGTTAGATTTTTATTGTAATTTTGTTTGCCCTTGAAAAAATGTATACCCCCAAGGCTCAGAAACTGAAAGATTAAAATGAAGGTTTGTGCACAGATAAGCTTCTTGTAAAGAACAGACATCAATTTTTTATTATTTCCATTCATAAGCTGAAGTATGAACTAAAAATGTATTTCAGTCTGGGTTAGGATGTCACGAAACCACTGGATATTAAGACCAGTACATGCACTATTGGTGGAAAAAATAATTAAAATTAGAGATTTGTACCCTTGTTTGTTAACTTCTCTTGTTAGCTTATTAAACTACATTGACAGTAATTAATTTTGGCAATGCCTAATTTTGGCTTAACATTCCTTTGCATTCCATAATCTGCTGCTCTATTATGGTAACACCATTTGGATAAAAACAATAAATGCCTAAGTTTTCCTAATAGAATAATTTCCTGCGTAAATGGACAATATCCTATAGCAGACAATGGAAGAGGGAGAGACTTTATAAACTCATAGACCAACAACATCACTGCCGATTTGTTTAATTTACCTAAAAACTATATTTGTCTGAACCACAACATCTTTCTTTAGGAATTATGTTTTGTCCAAACTGATGAAGATCGTTTTATCCTAGGTATTAAGCACAATCTCGGTGATCTGGTGGTAATGATAGTCAAGCAAAATATCTGAAGGTCATTCATTCAATTCCCAACCAATTCACTTGCAGGATTTTTTTGACAAGTATTTGAGTATGTGCTGACTATTCAGTACAACACGTCATTTTCTATTGAGTTTCCTGAAGTGAAACACCTTTTCGAAATAATTACATATCTGTGATACATTCTTATGGAGAGTTCAAGTGAAAGTAGGTTTAAAATATAATAAATGTTGATGTATGTTTAAACTAATTGCTTACATATTTATCTATACCTATCTCAGATTGATGAATTGGTAGAACAACTTGAGCAGTTCCGCGATGAAATCGTTAATAAGGATGAGGAAATTGAGCAACTTACGTTGCAGCTTGAGGTAGTTAAAAAAGAACAGGCTGCACAGTTGGTAAGTACTTTATACACAAACTATATTATATTATTTGGTTAATATTATGTATTTTTCCTGTTTCCTATTTGAAAATCGACTTGCCTGTGTTCCAGTGATCACTTGAATCAGAACTTCACTCGTCTTGAAAAAAACATTCCAATTCTTTTAGAGAAGTGGTGATCATGGTTTGGATTTTGAAAAACATGAGAACTGTGGCATGAATGAGTATTGTTATGTCAAAATTTTTAATTTGTGACTAGAAAAACCAGTCGTTTATATGGCTGATATCCAATGAATTAAATATTCATAACACTATTTTTAAAAATTCAAGCAGAATCTAAATTTTGAATTTATCCGACAAACGGCTGAGAGCAATCACATATAATATGTGGTATTTTAAAGCAGTTGTAAACGTCTCTATCACCGACAGTTTGACACAATCTGATTATTAGACTTGCATCCAGGCACTTTCTGAAGTCGTAAACTCAATCATGTAGTGTATGTTACATTGCTTATACTTACGGTAAATACGTTTGTAAATATGTCCGTACAGAACAAGTGAAATGATAGCATTTGAAAAGTCACCATTGACACAAGACATTCTCAACTTCATTGTATTATAGGAAATTAGAAAATTATATTTATAACAAAGGTCATATAAGTCATGGATATTAATGTTTTTTTACCATTTTTTAAAATTCTGTACTACCTTTTAGTAATTATTTTATTACTTAAGGAAAGATAAATGGCCTGTTGCTGCCTTTCATGTAATCTAATGTGTTGAATTATTAGCTAGAGATTACCATCTAAGGATGTTTTTATATGATATCTTTTGACACATGTTTTAAGCTGATTCTTGAGGTATTAGATAAGCTCTTGTTTGGTTGTCATTATCATGGTCTGAAGTCTATTAAAAATCACAAGTTTCTACAATAAGTTAAATTAGGCTTGCTATTACATTTCTATATTATACTGAGCATACTGTTGAAATTGTTCCAATGAGCACTATATTTAAATTTATTTAATATCAATAATAAATATTAAACTTGTTAACAATAATTATATCCTAAATAATATTGCATTTTCATAGCGCTAATAAAATATTTAATACTTGTTTCAGTAGCACTTCGTAAAATAGATTTTTTAACAAGCTCTTTGCTTTTAATGCATGCTCTCCAATAGGAGGTGGGATTTTTTGTGATTCAAAGATTTTTTTGGGTTATTTACGGTGAGAATTGATTCCAGTTACCAGCCATTTAAGCAGTCATTATCTAATTGTTATTGTTCAGTACATTAAACTTGTAAGCTGTGATGGTTGAACTATTTATCCATCCTTGAGAGAATACTAGAGAATACCTAATGCCACGTGGTAACACTTATTCATATTTGACAACAAAAGCAATCAATGTTTCATTTTCATATTGAATTCAGTGTTTCCTTACAATCCGTAGTTAATTTACATACCAATCAATATGCACAGAATAGAATATGCTTAGACTGACAATAAATAAATAGAGCTACAGATGCAATTCATCTGTATTATGATATTGTCGGGCAGGTGATATGGTGCTTTATGAAATGGCCACAGAGCATTAAAGGTTAGTTGTAGCCTTCTACCTTAGAATATTATTGTTATTAGTTACTATACCTATCTTTTACTAAGGAATTCCACCAAACTGAATCTATTTTCTGGATTCTGTGGAAGTTACTATTTATACCAAAAAAAAAAATTGTTATTTTTTTAGTGTTAAACATTCTTCGAACTGTAGTTTATTATAGAGGTTAGGTAATGTGAACACTTATTTCATTCATTTATTTGTAGATTATTTTATATTTATTTGAAGGATATAGTTAGTTAATTGATGTCGGATAAGGTACCAGGAATAGTCATATAAATGCATAAACTGCAACACATACTTGTACTGTATTTTTATCAAATTTCTTGTTTAACCATATGTATATTAAAATGCTAAATATTTTTCATGGATGATGATTATGGCTCAACAAACAATACGCAGCAATCCTAGTGTGTGCTATTGATAAGAATATTATTCAATTGGTTAATGTTCCCAAGTGACGGACAACCGTCAGAAAATATGAAGCAATGTTGTTAAAACATCAACATGATGTGATGGCTCATGAATATTCTGCTGCATGGTACAGTACATTACCACAATGTTTGCAGGTACACCTACTGCAGGTATGATCTGGGGTCCCAAGTTTGAAGAAGTCAATTCCAGGAAATTGTTTAAACAAACATTCTTTAATAGCATATCTAATTTTGTTTTGCTACTTTAATATGGTGATGCCAATCAACACTGACTTATGCAAGACAAATGGGTGGGAGATGGGTTATTTTCTGGGAGATTCCTTGGTATGACGCATCAACGTGATGTGTAGCTTGTAGCTGAAGGCCACCGATTGTCCGCTTTTTGTGTTGACGTGATGATGCTTGTGACTGAAGACCACTGCATTTTCTGCATGGTACACTACAGGCCACTGTATATCACTATGCCACATGACTATGATATGAGGCTTGATGACTGCCACTGTTTGTCCACATTTATGTCAACATGATTTTTGGCTTATGATTGAAGGTCATTACGTGCACATGTGTAACATCAACATGTCCCATTGGAATAACACACGAGTGCGCCTCCTGACTAGAGGATATTCAATGTTTGTGTGGGAGTTGGATTTGTGCGGGAGTTAGATTTGTGCGGCAGGCATGTTGTCATTCAGAGTAAAAGATTATGATTATAATATTAGTAACATAAGGACAGTGAATCTCAGAAATTAGACTTAATTGTGAAAGACATTACCTATAAAATCTGATAAATGGCTAAATGGAATTCGCTAACTGAATTGAAATAACATCCACTCCAGGCAGTCCTTAACCTGAAATTACAATTGAAGACTAGTTTCTTATGTGAATATTTATTTAGACACCAGCTTATTAGTGCTCACTGGCAAAAGCTTAAAGTGTCCAAATAGATGTTCGTACTTGTCTTTAAAATACATTTATTTTGATTGGAATTAAAATGTTACGAGTAACACTCATTGCATCATAACTTCTAAATTCCGGATGCACTTTGGAATCCGCTTGATAATGCCTCCATTCAGGGAGTTGTTTGTCAACACCAATAGTGTGAAAATCATTGCAATATTGGTCTGACAATGCATTCCATTTTATTTATGTTTGCTTCATTAATCTGGATGAATTAATCTAATTAATATGCTCTAAAAATTGTTGTTGGCCTTTCACTAAATGGGTCAGTACAACATATCAAATTGCAGCTAATTTTCTTTGGTAAATTATTTAGCAATTACTGCATATTATTATATTATTTAAGTATTTAAAATTTATTGACATATTATTAGATTTGTTATTATTTTATTGATTATTGGTATGGTGTTAAGTGGTATTATTTTCAATTCTTTCCTTAATAATTCATTAAAAAAAAACTTGATGTAAGCTGATCAAGCAAAAGTCAAGATTCAGTTTACTAAACTGTAGTTGTTGCTTTTTGTTGTTTAGTAATTATTATTTTTATGGTTATTTGTTATCAAAAGTATCATCATTGGTATCATAATCTGTATAGCATCATTGTTATCACCACCACTGTCATCATTATTACCATTGTTAGACCATGTCTGATAAGAAAAATGTTTGATTGTTTATTGAAATAATATTTTCTTTAAAATTGATTTGCAGAATGAGTTAAAGCAGGCAGAAGAGAACAGGAGAAAGGATGGTGATGGAAATGAATCAATGCCCGAGTTTGCTCAGCAACTTATTGACGAAAAGAACTTGGAAATTGACCATCTAACGGAACAATTTACACAAGCCCAGGATCATATCCAATTCCTGAAGGAGAAGGTTGACCAGCAGGAGTTGGAGCTTTCGAAGCAGAATACATTTGATACATCACCAGCTCACGTGGAAGAGGTCCTGGTGACAAGTAGTAGAGATACTGCTCTTGGGCATCCACCTGTAGGGGCAGAAGCACCAGGTCCTGCTGAAAAAGATTATGCTGAACAGCTGGTAAGTTTTCCATCTCTTTGAAGTAATAAGGTTCTCCAGTTCAACGTTCATCATCTGCATAAAATTGAAGTTGGTCTATATAATCAAAGAGTATAGAAACAGCCTGAGAGCCTAGTACGCTCGTTGAGAACGTAAACGAACGATAGCCAAACGCAGCCAGTAGAGGACGCCCGCTGCTCTGTTTGTATGTTCTTCATTGCCCAGTACTACACTACGCACGGTTTGTTTTGTTTATCGGTTTCTCACATGGTGCAGTACTTTCATAGAGGGTGGTAGATTTATTTCTTTTTCTTTACCATCATACCACTCTAAAGTGAACGCACATCCTAAAACTCATAGTGGGTCCACTCCATGACGACGATGGCAAATTCTATCGTAGATTAGGGGAGTATTTACAAATGGGACTACACTCTCTTGTTTTTTTTTTCTATACTCTTTGATTTAAGCAAAAATTTGTTGACAGTGACAATCAACAATATATATTGAATTCAACAGCAGCTTAATAAGTTAATCTGGGACTTAAAATATATCAGGCAGCCACTATTATACTCTCCATTCACCATGTCCTTCGATGTAGTTTAGCCTAGTTTTCGCAGACAGGTTCTTTCAGTCACTTGTTGCCAGTGTGTTGTGGTTGACAATGTACTTTGTCTTATTTAGGGAATGTCCCATTACTTCACGCACTCACAGTATTCTGTGATTTGAAAGAATAATGATGTTCTATTACCACACTTGCTCTTAATCTACTGCTATAATTGTCTCGCTTTACAATGTACCATAATCCTGATTGAGGAAGTTCCCATTAACTCGCTCGCTCTCAATGTATTTTCTCTTTTATACAAAACCTATACTCTACTGTGGCTAGCTGATATTTTTTAATGATCAGAATTTAAAAAATACCTGTGATGACTAGCAATACAAAGAGCAAATGTACTTATTAAGAAGTACGTATAAACAGAATTAATGAGTTTGTTAAGTTCTGCTTGATTAACTTTCCATTCAACCTGTCTTGAAATTAAGGCTTTATTAAATTAAAAATATGTTTTTTACAAATATTCATAGCAAAGTATATTTATTTTTTTTATCCGAAGTATAATCAAAAATGCGGCAAGGATGTTAGCATTATTAAATTAGTTATGAGTAACAGACGTATTAACTTCCTTTTTGTGCCAAACCGGTTTTGTTTAGCTGTGCATTCAGGCAAGACGAAGCATCCAAACAAAGCTGTCTTTTAAAATATTTCTGTTGCCATGGAAGCATACTAGCTTAAAATTCATTGTCTGTAGAACCAGTTATTTTGTGATTTACCATGCACAAAAGGTTTGGAATGTGAAAAGACAGTAATTGGAAGAGTTTTACCAGGGTTGGTATGACATTGAAGCTATTATTAGTAGTAAAAATGAACGTCCATTGAGTTTATAAGGATGTAGCTGCACATAGGCCAGTATTGCGCTGGTTGGGACACCGGTCAAACAGTAAGCATTATATGAGAGCATTGTTTATATCAACTCTTCAAATTGTTTTGTAATCAGTGTATTAGGTTGTAGTATATTGGCATGGAGATACCTTTGTGCTCTTTACTTGAGGCAGGTGTTGATATCCAACAAGGCTGCATCATATTCTAGGTAAACATGAAAGGTGTACTAAGGTTGTAGTAGAGCTATGTAGAAATGACCATTTGTTTTACAGTCTTTGCGTGTCATACTATAGCTTTCAAACTGGGAATATACTAGTAAAGGATTACCTTCATTTACAAATGCTTGTAATCATTTTTTCTTTGTAAGTACTCCATTTTAACATTAAATATTATACTGAACAGAGTACGTCTAATGTGGATGTTACAATCAGGTTGAAGCACAGTTAATTAATTGGTATTTTTACACTACATGGGTGGTAATTCATTCTCTCCATTGGTTGCGCTGAAGCTGAAAAGCAGGTCAACTGTATCTGACAACTGACATTTTGTTTTGCCACTGCTTAGAATAACTAGACAATCAATGATTTCTCATCAGCAGTTTTGATATGCCTCCATTAATCCTGTGATTTTTGTTCCCTGATTTGTTGTGATAAACTATACAGTAGTTTTGTTTGACCCTTTGAATGTAACTGTACATAAACTTGTGTAGAACTGCCAAGTGCCTGAAGAAATGTCAGATGTTCCATTCCGATGTTACAGAGCATTTTGTAAACAAAAATAAAATGCTTACGAATGTCCTTTATGTATCCACTAAGTATAGTAGGTATAGTCAAAATGTGTATTTGTAGAGAAAATTAACCAGTGGTTTTACTTCAAAAACAACTTTATTACACATGGTGTACCGGAAGTTTAATTATTTTGTTATGTGTAGTCTGTTACAACTAACTACAATTTTTCTACACAGATTGTTATATTTCTACAACTGTCAGTGGCTTTACTACAACCTTCTGCCCAGGATGTGAAAATTGACTGCTTGGTTGCTTGTCCTCGATTAATTTCAAATTATTTATTTATTTGCAGGGGAACATAAAGGCTGAGTTTGAGGAGATGTTACAGGAGCGTGATAAAGAAATAAGCAAACTGCACGAAGCATTATGCAATGAGAAGAACCGAGATCTACTCGCTGACCCGACAGTTCTGAAGGTTTTGGAGCAACAGGAGCGAGATAATGACATGATAAAGGTAGGCCTATGAATTTTCTTTGTTGAGCAAGTTTTAAATTATTAAACTGTTTATTCATAGTAGGAATGCAACATGTAAATGTTAAAATGATGATCTGGAAAAAAAAAACAATAAGGAATAATTCATAAAACATGAAACTAGCATGCAGCAACTAAAATAGCCAAAAGCCATAGGTTATGATATAAAGGTGAGCTGAAAATGTCACATTTAGATAAAGCTGTTTCTACAACTTGTCCAGACTAAAATAATGTCCCTACTGTACATTCGAAAATGTAGCCCAAACTAACTGAAATGTGAATGGGGTTTCCATCTCCGATAAGGGGGTTTCCATCTCCGATAAGGAGCTCTAGAAACACTCAGCTGATTGATTAATTGATGTTTTTTAGCTATACTACATCTATTACTCTGCCGTCATGAAGTTGATTGATTAATAGTTGATTGATTGATAGTTGATTGATTAATAGATCTTTTAGGCCTCAATTATACTGCCCTCATGAGGAGCTCTAAAAACACTCAACTGATTGATTGATTAATAGTTGATTGATTAATAGATATGTTTTTAGCTCTACTGCCTCTATTATACTGCCCTCATTGGAGATTTCCAGATTATGAGAATTTGTTTTATTAAAATTAATACAGTACTACTGTTTGTTGGTCGTCAAATCAAAACCTTACCATTATGACAACTGTTTAGCTTTGTCCACATAACAGGAAATGCTGGTTAGCAAGTAGGAAGTCATCATAGTTGAAAGGTTATTCATTATTATGCTCAACTGTAGGTACTACTAGTCTGGATACACTGTTTATCCTGCTCAAAGTATGGTAGTAGTGATGTGGGCTTTGTGTGGAGTAGAGTTTCTTGAGTTGTAAAAGTTCCTATATTGGTGTCATGGGAATTCTGTGGGTAAGGTAGATTTGAATTTAGCTTATAGCTACTGTAAGCAAGAACATTGGTTTCATTAGCAAATGAATTTAACATTTTTCAAAACATTTTTTTCTGCTCTAGTATGTATCATTTTTTTTTTTTTTTTTTGGTTTATAACACAGTTTCACAGTGGTATCAAGTTAGCAACTGATGATTATCAATTAATTTAATGAAACAAATGATTGCAGAGATATTTAATTATTTAATATTATTGTTTACATTATTTAAATATATTTTATATTTCTGTGCACATAGTGTTTGTTAAATAATTTTTAGCATCCTAAAATATTGCCATGTGGATATTAACACAAAGAATACACAGGTTAGAGGTCATTAATATTATCAGAAATGTCTTGGAATTGTGTTACTAATTCAATTAGTTTAAAGTGCTCATCCTCTCCTTGACATTATGGTATTTATTTATGATATTAGTACATTGATAGTAAACCTGAGCCTGTTATTCAGTTTAATACATTAGAGGTCTATTAGAATTTGCCAAAGTAGTTCTAGTTACTAAGGTTTTATTATTGTGAATCCTTTCAGAAAGAAGTGACTGAATTGTGTGTATGTACTGCAAGGCTTTTTCAAAAAGCAGTGTATAGCTCTGAAAAAAAAGAAAATATATAAATACAGTGTATAAATTGAAATACTATTTATAGATTTAAGAAAAAGATGCTTTAAATTTAATTTCTGCATCTTGCATGAAGTAATTTTCAAATTTAAACAACAACATCCACTCTGAAGAAAATGAAACATGATAAGAACACTAGTGACAAAGGTAATATGTAGCCGCTATTGTTATTAATGGATAATCAAAAGCGTATGGCCATGTCAATACAATGTTTAGTTTCTGGCATTTTGGGAAGATATTCAAACTTGTTATCTGTGCAGATATACTTCCTCTTTTATAAAATCATCAGTCAATTGCTGTTCCGCTATTAGTAATCACCCAACTTCTCTGCTTTGGCTGCCTTGCTTATCTTTCAGGTAATTTTTTTAATGGGGGATTAAATTAGTTTTGATTCTGAATGTTTGTGTAGTTGATCCATCGATATCAAAATAACAATGGAAATCACAATTTTAAATTAATGTTGTTAAAGGATTTTTTTTAATCAAATTTATATTTTCTGAATACTGTTAATTTGTAGGTATTTAATATAATAAAGAAATGAAAACAATTAACAATTTAAATAAAATTTTAATTTCTATGTTTAAAAATAATTGGATAGATAATCTTTCTGAATTTTTATTTAATTTGTTACAATATATATGAAATCCTATCAAAATTAAAACACAATAATCATTTTTACATACTGTAACTTGTAAGCAAAAGGGGGAAAATCTATATTAATATGGCAGAGAGCTGATGTATTAATTTTTGCCAATTTAAAAGATTAATCCAGTGGTTTATTACTCACAAATCAAGCCACAATGCACTACACAGTGATACCCTGTATGCGTGTTTAAATAGATTGTACGTAGACCCCAGGGTCCTCACCACTCAATGTAAATTAGCTTGATTATAAGCTGTGTCCTTTGACACGATATCAGAATCAGATGGCGGTACCCTGCGGAGGCACGGTTGAGTCTTGTTTTCACTCCTGTGTTTTGTTATGATTGGATAATGACGTTTGTCTTGTAAAAGTAACCAACATAGATTAGTTGTTGTTTCGATGACGGAGTGTTTGACGGAACCATTTTTTCTGTTTGCACCGGTGAATGTAAGTTGACTAGCATTATTTGAACCCAACATGGCTGCAGCCAGTGCCTAAGCCTAATTAATATTCATTGAAAAGTAAAAGGTTTTGTTTCTAGGAGGGAAGGTATGTGTTTTGTGTCTACTATGCATGGCAGCTATTAATTCTAATTACCAGCAGGCTAGCATTATAATTCATATTTTTGCTAAGTAGTGTCAAGTGTTTCTTATATTAAACAAACCATGAGTGATGTTAGTGAGATACTTTTTCCGGATAAACATTTATTGGTTTATCCAGGTAAGTTAGTGTAATGTAAATGATTCATAAAACATAGTAGATTATTAACAGCTAGAGTAATTCATTGTAGAAAAAAAAGTACAGTATCAGTCTGCATTTAAATGTTCGAATATATAATACACTGCAGTATATTTCTTTTACAGATAATTATAATTATGCATCACTGTAAGTTTCTAGAAAGTTAGCTATAATTATTGTTATATATTAAAATTATGGTAGACAATAACAAGATGGAGTCCATAAAGTCTGGCTGTTGAAAGCTTAATTTTCTATAACCAAGCTAAATATAGTAATCATTTACTATATTTAGCTTGGTTATAGAAAGCTTAATTTTCTATAACCAAGCTAAATATAGTAAATGATTAAAAAAAAATTATTGTTATTGTTTTTCTTTTTTATATCTTTTTTATGAGTTAAAATATAAACCAAATTTTAATGATAGATTACACAATGTAATTGTCGTGTTTCTTACTATTCCATTTGAATGACAAAAGAATATTTAAAATTTTTCCAGAAACAGCTTGACAATGAGCTGGAGTCCTTGCGTGATCTACTGGGAGTGCGGGAGCATGAGGTCAGTCAGCTGGAGATGCAGCTGGCTCGTCTGCAAGGGGTCTCCAGATCTAGCAGTGAAGATCTCGATAACCTCAGAGACCAGATCAATGGACTTCAACAAGATATTGACGTAAGCTATTGTATACTAATATGTTATAAAAAGTAATAGTAATAGTAAAGTAGTACAAACTTATATTGTAGTTAGTTTATTATTTATACACTTGGTAGAACAGTACATTCTAACCAGGCTCAATATTTAAAAATACGAAATGTATAAGTGATTGTTAAAATCAATAATTTCATTCGTTTTCAATATAATTTTCATAAATTCTTCAAGAAAATTCAAGTAGTTATCACAACAACTGACAGATGTTGCTTAAGTTTGAAAAAAATTATATGATTTGAAATTCCTACCAATGAATTTTTTCAATCAAAAATTGTATGGTTTTACTATTGATGACTTTTATTTTTTATAAAGAATTTTATTGTTATAAATCTAATACAAATGTGACTAATTAATATGTTCCATTATGTTTTTGTTATTTTCATAGTTTATGTGACCTTGTATTATAAATTTAGGTGTACTGATTGAAATTAAAAGAGTCAAATGTTTTATGATGTACGTACTTGAAGAGATAATAGATCATTTGACAAATATTTTCCTCCTCAGAGCAAAGATATGAAGATCCTACAGCTAAAGCTACAAGTAGATGAACTTGAGGAGGCCATCTTACAGCGCCAACAAGAGCTTAGCCATGCCGCTGTCGATCAACTTCAAGAGCTTCAAAATCAACATCACGAGGAGCTTGTCGCTATGGAGGCCAAGCACAAGATGGAGTTGGCTGCATTAAGGGAGGCCTGTGATGCACAAGGTGAACGTGTACGGCAGCTTGAATCGGATTACGATAGGCGATTAACCAGTTTACAGGGACTGTCTCCTGGAAAAACACTACAGCAGGTATGTATGCATAGTCTGTTTTGTTAATAATATTGCAGCCTACCATCCCAAAACCAGCATTAGTGACCAAATTCTCCATATTGTAAGCTTTAAAATGATGGGTCATACTGGAATCGACTTTACATTACCAGTTATAAGTAAATGTATTACGGCTTCTCTGTATTGAAGTATACAATGCTGCCACATTCTAATGCTAATTATTCAGTTTAATAATTAGTGACAGTACGCTGATTTTGGGATGGCAAGCCTCTTATGTTAGTATTTTTGTTAAGCCAATAATAAATTTATCTTACTTGCTACATGTTGGCTGCTACTAGACAAGAACATAATCTAATATTATATTTACTGAATATATTTTATTTGATTTCTGTTAGAAATTGGATGAAATTAGACGAGAACTGACTCTGCAGCACCAGGATCACATACATGACATTCAGACTAACATGGAACGAGATGCGACAGTGCGCATCAACCAACTGAAGGCTGAACACAACCAGCAGATAGATGAGCTGAGATGCAAACACAAACGGGAGCTAGAGCAAGCAATTTTGCAGGTCAACCGAGATCTGATGTCTGCTCATTCGGAAGAAATCGAAAGACTACGAAGGGAGTATCAAGAGCAGATGAGACAACTCACTTCGTCGCCCATCAGTCCCCAAACCAGTACAGGTAATAACATGTAATATAACATGAATTAATAAAATTATTTTGTGTCATGCATATAGATACTTAGTCTATTTCGTGAATACTTAACTGGATGAACCTAATATTAACCTATATTAGCCAAGAGAGATAAGTATAATAGAGGCCTATTAATTTTGTTGCATTATACACACCTGGGTTGGATGATTCCATTATTTTAAAGGTAAGATATTAAAAGGGCACTAGTTTTGGATAATATAGGTTAATGTAGGTTCATCCAGCTACCAACATCACTTCTTATTTGTGTAATCTTTCATTAGTATTCGTAGACAAAAATCCATAATAAAAAAAAAATGTGTAATTGCAGAACTAGGTCAGAAATTGAAGGTAGAGGTAGATACTATGGAGCGACTAGATCGTGACTTGCTAGGTCATCTACGATCCCGACAAGACGGTGTTGGCAAAGACAGCGAGTCTACCGAGTCGGGCATCGTTGACAGCAGTTCCGACATTCCAATCCGACTACAGTCGCTGCTGAATCGTGTCCATAGTGAAGGATTACAAGTTCTCACCATGTCTGATCTACGATACTTGCGTCAGCATACATCTCCGCGAAGAAATGTACAGAATGGAGCAGATATTGCATCGTTACAAGAGTCGTGGGAGAACGAAAAGCAAGCATTACTTGATGCCATTCAAGCATTGAAAGACCTTATTTCACAAACTACTGGACAATGGGTAAGAAGAAGAACATCATATACACATTATACACACATACATAAAAAAAGAAAATAATGGTTTCTGTATACTAACATTTCCATTTATATCAGTGAATCTCAAAAACATGGATGATCATACCATGTAATAATAATAATAATGATAATGGATCATCATACCATGTAATAATAATAATAATGATAAACAGAAATAACTATTATTTAAAGAAAGAAAGAAAAAGGAAACACTATTATTGTATGTTGTCTTCTATACTGTTCCTTTAATTTGTTTTGTGAAGTTTCAAAATGGTTATTAATCAGTGATCCTGTGAAATGGAAAAAATATGTTATATCTACATATTTTGCTGTTGTCTCAAACTGCAATAAAATTAAATAATTTTTGAACATGAATATTATTTATAGATATATATGGATGTTTTAAATTAGCATTTTAGTACAGTATGTTTTAAAAGTTATTAAATGATATATGCTTAGGAATGATTAAAGATAAACTTAAATGCTTATAATATAATGTTTTTATCTATTGTTCTTTCATTTATTAATGGATTATTATTGTTCCACAGTCCTCAAGATCATATGAGGTAGATTGGCGAGGGGAATTGTTAAAAGCAATTTTGTACGTTTTTGACAAGGAACGCGAGACATTATTGGCTGAGCTTCGAACACACGTAGTAGCCAGCGGTGATAAAGATCTTTCTGATGTACAGATGTTAGAAAGACGAATACGAGATCAAGTAAGTATGAGCTGTAGCTTCTAGTTCATCAGCCTTAAGCCGGGCACTTACTGCGTTGTACGACAAATCCAACTCCGCTCCCTGCGAGCACTAGACGACGCAACGCCGTCTGCTGATTGTCGGTGGCAGTCAGAACAGATTGTCATTAAAAACAATCTGTAGAGCGCGTTGACGCTGTCTGCAGATTGTCGGTGGCAGTCAGAACAGATTGTCATTAAAAACAATCCGTAGAGCGCGTTGACGCTGTCTGCAGATTGTCGGTGGCAGTCAGAACAGATTGTCATTAAAAACAATCCGTAGAGCGCGTTGACGCTGTCTGCAGATTGTCGGTGACAGTCAGAACAGATTATCATTAAAAGCAATCCGTAGCGCGCGTGGTCGCGTTGCGTTTTTTTTTAGAATCGCGTCGGCCGACAACGTCTGGAGCAGTGAGTGCCCGGCTTAATGTACAATTCTGTTGTTAATTTTTTAAATATTTTCCATGGTGGATGCTGCACACAGTTTTCTTTATATGTCATTGATCATTACATTGTCACTATAATGTAGATATTAAAATCGTAGATAAATAAATCATAAGTTTGGATTAGATACAATTTTGGCAAGTGAAGGGGAGTGGGAATACTATCAACATCATCTTTAATATGTGTAGGTAATTTTCTGAATACTAATATAATGGTAATGTGTTGTATAGGTGAAAATCACAAATCACCATGCTATCGCCCTTACTTAGATTACACTTGATTTCTATATTTTAGGAGTCTCACCACCGTTCTGCCTTGGATCAAATATACAGTGCCGACCGCACATCCCTTCTAGCGGAGATTCAAGATGTACATGAACAAAACACTACCTTGAAATTAGAGCTGCAAGAACAACGACAAAAGCTTATCTCGCAACTGAGTAACATGGAAGAACAGACCACAAACCGAGAACGCCATCTGAAGCGCCAAGCAGAAACCATGGAGTTTAAAATAAAACAGGAACAGAACTTAAATGCCGAGCTGAAAAAGAAATTAACGGAAGACCAAAACAGACTTAGTCAAATGTCACTCTCCTCTAGCAGGAGTCAAAGTGATGTGATAATGTTAAAGAATGAAGTTGCAGATGAAAAAATGAAGGTGGACCAATTGAAGGATAACTGTGAAAGATTGGAGGAAAAAGTGCAAGAAATTACGTAAGTATTTAAGAAGCTCTTCAAATCGGCCATGTTTGTTTCATTGCAGAATTTAATCGTAATACACTACTGTAATTGTTCTAACTGCCATTTTAAAATAATTATTAATGTTGCTTTATTAAATTAATTTATTAGAAGTAGTATTGATATTAATAAATTTCATTTAATTTATTAATATTTATTTATTATTGATTATTAATAATATCTATTAATGTTTAATTGAAATTCTGTTTTTAAAAATATTTATAATTATTACTAGCAAAAAAGAATAATGGAATAGCCCTAGATTTTTTTTTTACTACATTTTAATAATTGTTTCCTATGGCCAGTTGTCCAACTTTAATTGCATGCTGTGTGTTGTGTGCTGTTTGTCTACTGTGATATTTATAGCTTTCATTTTGATTCAGTGTTTACATTAAAGATATACTGTCTATCTTGAACTGATAAATGTGGAGAATAAATCCACCATTTTAATTGCTTTAAAACCTAATATGTATTATATATTTACATAAGTTGTTGGAAAATTATTTTTCATTTTTAATATTAATTTCTTCGACCCATAAACTTATTTTAAATTAAAGTTTATACAGTAAAAAGTTAATGAAAACTGTTTTGAGTCTCATTGGAGTTGGTTAAATGACCAAGTCGGTATTTTATTTGCAGTTTTCTGAGGTTTTCTGGCTTTTATCTTGGACAGTATATCTTTAATTACTTCCCCAAGACAAAAACAAAGGCATTTATTGAACATTCTTAGTATTTATTACCTACCATTAATACGCAATGTGAGTTTATAATGTACAAATGCTCATTAGCCAATTTTAGAATGCTTTTTTAAAAGACATTAAATCTTTGACTAAGTGAAATGTTCATTATGACCTTTTGTTTACCATTAATCATCATGTTATCATTTTATATTTTGTTGCTAAAGTTTAGTGCTAACTTAAACATGCTTCTAACTTTCACATTTTTTTATTCAATTTCTGCACCATCACAGAAATGTTGCTGAATCTGCCTTGTAAGTAAATTTCATTATGCAAATGCTTAGCTCTTATAATATTTATAGATTTGTAATCTAATTATTAATTTTAACTTGATAACCTTCCATGTGATCTATTTTTTAATGTATCATATTTAATTAATGCATAGATATACATCATCATCATTTAAGTATGTAATTAAATTTTAAGTCATCATCATCATCTTCATTTATACGTTTCTGTTTTCACCTTTTTAAGTGGAAAAATATAACAATTTTAAGAAAAATAATGACGACCCTCAAAAGGAAACCTCTAAGGGCATGTTAAGCTGAGGGACTGGGATCTGTTTCCAATTTTTATATTTGCCATTTTAATCAAAATGAGTGTTGCCTTCATTATTATCAATATTAGTGCAGTACATTTGTTATTTTATTGTTATCACCATAGTTAATTAATATTCTTCTTGACAACAGTAATAATCATTATTGATATTAAATTATTTTAGTAATGATTAGCATTTAGTTTCTGTATTAATTATTGTTTTTATGAGATTTTGTACAACTTAAAAATTGAATACTCGTAGTATGTGATTCCAATTTATTTATGTCCTGTATCTCTATTAACAGATGTGCTTTGGAGAACGAGAAATCTAGAAATGTTGGACTTCAAGAATCTTTGCAACGTGAGCAGGAGACCAGGAAGAGGCTGCAGCATGCCTTAGATGAAGAGCACGAAATGACCAGCGATGCCATTCAACGAGAACAAGACATTATAAAGGTAAGGCATCTACAATGGTTTATGCAACTGTACTGTAATGTAGTGCATTAGTATGCTCTGTGTTTAATTCAACCTGTTCATGCATGACTGGTTTGGTCATTGGAGGCAGTATGTTTCATTTTGTTTTATTTAATAAAATACTAAAATAAACAACAACTGTAATTCACTGAAAGAAATGGGTGCCCAAAAATCAAAACTTAAGAAATGGATGTTTACTGCTTGATCTTTACCTGTTGTCAATTGTCATGGCCTATGGTAGTGAAAAAACAAATTGAATGACTGTACGTCCCAGTGTGAGTAGTCTTATCATGTGTTTTTTTTTTTTTGAAATTTTTTTTTTGTATATTATTTTTAATTAGATTGACAATCATAAAGAACACCATGAGATCTGTTCACACTATGAATTTGTATGTGACTAGTACCTGTGATTTCCTTATATGGGTATGATATGACATTATCATCCCCATTTATGGGTATAGATATGACACCATCATATCCATATAAGGGTGTGATATGCCATTATACCCATATATCGGCAAATCACAAGTATGTGTCATGAAAATCCTTATAGTGTTGACAGGACTTCCATACTTATATCTCTGGACATACACTAATATGTGTTTGGTGCATGATGGTCACGGTATCCAAGTCGTTAGACATTTTTACACACCAACACATACTAAAAAAAGCGCCCTATGGATAATTCAAATATTGTCATTTTTTGTTGTTGCATTGTTTATTGCTATGGTGGTATGTAGCTTTAGAATGAAACGCATTGTGCTTTTAAAAAAACAGAATTTTCGCAAAGATCTTGAACAAGAACGAGGGAATCTGGCTAATACCAGTAGCTTGCTTGAGCAGGAGAAAGTGAAATCAGAAGGGTTGAGGCAAGAATTGGAGCTAGAGAGAAAGAAAACGTCAACAAAGCTAGGGTCGCAGAAGGGCAAAGTATCAGATCTGCAGGGATTGTTGGATGTAGAGAAGGCGCGGTCGCATGACCTTAGTCTGGCTGTTCAGGTAGTCTATCAGTGTAGCTTAACTTGTGTTGCATGTTTATGTATATCTGGCTATTTTCCCATACCCCATTGCACAACATTTATTCTTTGAAGGTTTCCAATTCAACAGTAGAAATTTATTATTACATTGATTAACAATTTTATAATAAATTTTTAGTCATCTTTTGTTGAGTTTTATTTTAATAAAATATTAATCTATTCTGCTTTGAAGGATTATTAATTTATTGATTTGTTTTTTCTTGAAGCGTTTCCAAGCTTTGAATGCCAAACTTCAGGAATCCATGGAAGAAGAGCGCAGTATGTTTACGGACACATCGATTGAGGATAAAAAGGCTCTTAATGAATTGCACATGCAGCTTAGCTCGGAAAAAGCTAGGTCATTAGACTTAAAAGGTGCTATTCAAAGGCTTCAAAACACCCTATCCTCTGTGGAAGAAGAGTTAGAATCTGAGAGGAATAGGGGCCTAGAAAATGTGAACAGAGAAAAATCAGTTATTAAACAATTGAAGCAAAATTTGGATACAATTACAGTAAGTTATAATGTTTAGGTACACAATAACTCATGTAGCAAACTGTTGAGTATTTATATTTTGAGTACATGATGTTATTGACATTCAATTTTGCTTGCATCTTTATTATTTTTGTCTTGTTACCACCTTTATGCATTGTGTGATATGAATATGAATCTGAATCTGAATTATTACAAACGATGATGATGATATTTATGACAGTATCTATGATGATTGTGATGATGGCAGAGGATTATGACAATGATGACAACAACAGTGACAGGGTGAGATAATATTAATGTTGACTCCTAAATGATGAAGTGGTGATAAGTACATGATGGTGACAATTATTTATTATAAAGATTATTATATGATTATTTGACAATTATATCTGTGATAATGATAATGAAGATGATAATGTTGGTAATAATGATGATAATGACAACAAATTATTTGGTAAGAACAGATAACGATGACAAGGATTGTAAAAATCTGATTTTTTTTTTTTGTGGAAATAATTTTTTTTAAACTTTTGTCTTCACCACTATTAGGCTCAGAATGCGAGTTTATCAAACCAAATAGAGAAGGAACGCAAGTGTACGCTACAAATGCAACAGGAACGTGATAAAATCCAAGCAAGTCTACTGTCCCAACAGGAAAGAGAAAGGGAGAAGGAATTCCAGAGGGAGAAAGAAAGAGAAGCAGAAAAATTGAGAGAATCTGAACGAAGACGTGAACGAGAGATGGAACAGAGAAAACAGGTATTGGAATGTTTTAAATGTGAAAACCTCTTCTGTTTTCCAATATAATCTTTTTGTTCTGATATTGCATTATTTAATATGATGCTGATCAATAGAGCAGAATTATTTAACATAAGATCATAGATTCTAATGGGCAGAAGCAAGTAAGTTGCACTACGTTCAATTTTATATGTTCTCACAATTTTAAGCTCTTAGGAAAAAATTTCAACCACACCAATGACTATTTTTGACATTTGTATTGTTTTATTGGTAATAAATAGTCAAGTAGCTTTATATTCTTGATAATAGCTACATTTTTGTTTTAATTCATTTGAAACATTCTACCATTTTGCTTGTATATCATTTTGAAATATTGTTTGATTCATTATTTGTGTTTCACAAACCTTTTGAATTTGTTTGTCTTTTGACTTCACCCACTCCTCACATGCATTCACTTGATTCCTATGATTTACCTGTTTGTTGTGCTACTTGACTTAGAAGCATGATTTGTCAGTAGAAAAATAGTACAAGTCACAAACTTAAGATCTAAATCATCCTCCATCCTTTTACTTCATATAATCCTTTTAAAAACCTAAGCTGCTTAATTCTATCAATTTCACCATGCAATAACTTTAGAAAGAATTGGATATTATTTATTAAACTTGGGAGACAGCAGATTTGTTTATTCTCTCACTGGGCTCAGAAGTTGAACAATAGGATGCATTATCCAACTACCCCCTTCTTCCTCTAGCATGACATTGAGATGGAAAAGCAGATAACCTCACAAACGTTACGGACCTTAGAGCAGGAGAACGAGGATCTTCACGAGGAGCTAAAGCAACAAGAGGCTCAGAAGAAATCCATAGAAGAAGACAGTAAACGAATGAAACAATCTGTATCACGCAACATAAACGTGACAGACTGGGATATGCAGGAAGCTTATGAAATGGTATGGTAAACACGATGATCAACTTATCCTACCCACTCCCAGAAATTCAAAATTCTATCTAAATTTAGTCATTTATTTGAGAACCATCTTTCACATTCTGTGTGTGATCATTATATCATTTTTAGCCACTATCTGCAATCTTATAAACAAATTATATTCAAATCTATTTGCTTTCATCTTACAATATCTATAATTGCATGCTTTAGTAGATTTCATATTTGATATTTTATAATATCATAATTGTTTAGTGGTTCAAAAAGCACTTTTCAATAAACATCACATTTTGATAATGATGATCAAATTGTGTTCACGTAGTCCACTTTCTTGCATGTGTGTTCACAATATTGTATGCTGTAGTCAAATACACACTCACTATTTGCAGTGTACTATTTCTAATTTTGAAATACAATTCAATTTAGTCATTGATGTTGTATATTTTTTTTTATCCATAGGAGATGAATAAAGGCATCAGTGGTCGTCACTCAGACAACCAACAATCACGCTTGGAACTACATAAGGTACAACTGGAGACTATTAGACAGAGGTTGCAGCTTCTTGCTGTTAAGCAGATGGAAAGCTTACAGGCTTTGCAGAGCTCAGCCCAGTGGTCACCGGACCTGGAGGAGGATCTTCTAGGCCTGAAGAGGTCATTGTCCGAGTCTCAGGCTGAACTACAACAAGTTCATGCTGCTTTGGCTCTCCAGTCTGAGGTAGGATCCCATTGCTAGAGTGAGTGATCAAAAATGAAGTTGATGTAATAGCACATGATCACATGCTGTAATGTCATATAATCACTTGCTGTAAATATCACATGATCACAGTGACGGATTCAAGGTGGGCCCAGCCGGCCTAGGCCGCCACCCCCCAAAATTGTTCAAAAATGCTAAAAGATGGAAATAAAAATAAAATTATATTTGAATTTAAGTTTGAGAGTGCATTATCCACTTATTTTCTAACCCCAGCCATGGTTGGGTTGAGGTGGTATAATTCCTCCCCAGACCTCCTTTCATTTGAATTCCTGGATCCACCACTGTATCATGCTCATTTGCTGTAATATCACATGATCACATGCTGTAATATCACATGATCGCTTGCTGTACTATCACTTGCTGTATTTCAAATTGTGACCTGATCAATTTTTTTTTTGTTGACAGGGTGAGCCTTTGTTGAGTTCTCCAACAACATTTCGTCTCAATGAACGGATTCTGCATCAGAATGCCAATCTCAGCAATTTTGTGGCCAGGTTAAGTGAAGAGAAAACCGAACTTCGAATGTCTCTAAATAAATTAGAACAGGAGATATGGAAATCTAGAAATAGGCAGGATATGGTAAGTTCATTCTTTGTTTTAATTTACTCTCTTGTTATGGACCTAAATAGAAATAAGTTTTACTTTCATTTGAGACTTTATTTGGTTATCCTGGTTCAATTCATACATACATACATACATACATACATACATACATACATATATAGGTTTTAAGCCTTTTATTGCATATTTAAATTAGAAAGTTGCCTTAATTAATTAATAGATTTTTAATCAAAAATTAATTTAAAAAAAATACTAATGTCCTCTTTCTGTGTATACCCATAAAATGTCTGATAATTTTTGTAGTAAAGGTTTATACATAAACAAAACATTGCATTTAATTTTAAAGATTGATCGTCAAAGTCGCCAAGAAGTAGAGGAACAAATTGCAAATGAAAGATCAGCTCTCGCTCAAGAATGGTATGCAATACGAGAAGCCAAATCTGATGTAGCAAGAATGAAAAGCGAGTCACAATCTAGCATCAGATCAACAGAATATCAGCAAGCCAAGGTATGGTCAGCAGCCGTTCATTCATTTGAATGTGGTGGGGTAGTAATCGGTGCTGTTAAATTGGCCAATCAATTCTGTATTTATAATTTATAATATAATAATAATATATAATACATTTTTTGTGTAAATTATTAAACATTAATAATGTTTGTGTTTGTGGAGTGTGACTAATGTCTTTATAATAATTGTTCTAAATGTTGGTGTGTAAATAGCTTATATGTTTTAAGTAATGTATTTTTTTATGTAAATATTTAAATATTAATAATTATGTCTACAATCTTAATTGTAATGATGTAAATTTTCGATTTATACCTTTAGAAATATTAAGAATAAGAAAATATTTTTGATAGTTAGTTTTGTACTCTTTTGTTGTTTATATATTGGTTTAATTTCTTGCTTTTTAATTTAAACCAATGATTTCAGCATCTCAGCTGCTTGTTATTTTTTTTCCTTTATACCTAAATAAATACAAAAAATGAATTGACCATCTAAACTGTTAAGAGTAAGACTCAATGTATTGCGTGGAACTGTCCATCATAATCATTATCACTACCATTGCCACAATTGTTCTATTCATCATCATCATCACTACCACTCCTTGTCATCATCATCACAGCTACCACCATTACCATCATTGTTGTCACTGTCGTTGACAAAAATGCCATGGTTACCACTGCTCGCTCCACCTACCATTAGTTCAAACAATCTATACAGTTAAGCTAGGGGGACAAGATGTCAAAAATAACTTGATCTAAATTTGTATTAAATTGTTCCTTAAATATCTAGGATACTGTAGTATAGGGACAAGGGACGCAACTTTTGTTGCCAACATAACTGTTCAGTACCAATGAAAGTTTTTACTGAATTAATACATTTTAGCATCATTTAAACCAAATTTTGTTTCAACAGTTGCAACGTCTTTATGGCAAATACTTGCGAGCCGAAAGTTTTCGTAAAGCTCTGACATACCAAAAGAAGTATCTGCTGCTACTGCTGGGTGGATTCCAGGATTGTGAGCAAGCTACATTAGCACTCATTGCTAAGATGGGTGCCTTCCCTTCACCAGATGATGTCCAGCGAAGGTCACGCCACAGTCGTGCATATATGAGATTTAGAAGTGCAGTCAGGGTAGTCATTGCAGTTCAGAGGTGAGTTTGATTACCATGTTTTACATTTTATTTTTAATTTTACTTCAATTTTTTTTTTTCCAGCAGCACCAACAACAAAATTAATTATAAAATTCAAAATTCTCTACATGTATCATTATAAGACTTTACAGGAATTGAATGCAAGACTCTGGGATCATCTTAGCAAAACAACCATGCTAAAACACCACTCATATTTAATAACCCCTGCTGCTAGTTTTCGCAAACAAATTGACAAAAATTTCAATTAAGTTTTTAAGAATTAAGAATTTTATCTGGTTTCTCTCTTAAGTGAGATTTAAATGTTCAACTCTTTCTTTCCATTAGATTAAAATTCCTTGTAAAGAAATGGAAGCGTGCAACCAAGGTTGGTTCTCCAGTAATGACTGGTACCACATCCAGTTCATATGGTTCAGGTTCCAGATCCAGTCCACGTAGTAGCTTTAGAACCCATGGGGATGCATCATCACCTTACAGAAGTGGTGACTATGCCTCTCCAGTACGGAGGTCTCTTGATCGAGATTTTACAGAAGCATCACCACCCGTCAGGGAAGCAAGTGAAAAAAGTGTTTACTCTTTACCAAGGTTGGTCAACATTTACTGAAACTTTTTTACAGAATATCACAATTTTCAATATTAAATAATTTAAATTATTACATCATTTAATTTTGTTTAGCACCAGATAGAATGCATTGGACAAGTATTTTTTGCTTTTTAAAATTCCACCAGACTTTTTTTTTCCTGTAATTCTCATCTTATAAATTAATTAAGTATTGTGCATCTTGTTAATTTTATAGTAGTTTTTGTAGTTTCGTTATTCTTTTTATCAGTTACTTTCATTTACAATTTACTTGTAGACACCCTATAGGTGATTCAGCACCTCCATCAAGCCTGTTGTATTCTGCAGCTGGTGATCCAGAAACATCACTGACAAATTACATCCGACGGCTGGAAACCCTTCAAGATAGACTGGAAGTTAGGCAAGAGGCAACAGGTTAGTTGTTAGTCATCTTTCGTTTTATTACATTTAGATTGAGAAGCAAGTACGTTCTCCAATCACATGTTGAATTTAACGCTGCTGTATAAACTAAGACTCATTTCAAGGCTTAACCCTTACGCTGCCATCTTCGCATAAATGCGAACACCACACAGTTGGTGTGCATGCTAGTTTCACATAAATGCGATTAGGCTCACTGTCAGCCGAACGCCACCTTCGCATAAATGCGAATTGATGAAGGTCTTCAAAAAAACAACCATAGAGTGGCTGTTTTAACACTAACCCAAATAGTGTTTACTGCATATGAAAGCTAATGAATTTCTGCACATTTTGATTTGAAACTTGCTGAGTGTTGTTTTGTTAGAAGTTTGAGTTTTTGGAAGTTGAATATATGATGTTTTGAAATGTTGAGAAACTTTATTCTTCTGTAGTTGTTACAGCTGTGCTGGATAATAAGGAGACTTAAAAATTGACATAAAAAAAAACGATGTTCTGGTCCTAGGCCTAGCTAGGCAGACCTAGCCTAGGCGTAGGCCTAGCTAGGCCTGAACTGTGATGGTAATGTTAGTAAATATATGTAGGCCTAGGATTCGTTATTTTGACTTTGAAAACACATACTCTGCTAATAGGCCTAGGCCCAATATACTATTTGTGATAGGCCTTGACAAAATAATCCTATCATTTATTCACTAAATAATAAATAAAATGCAGAAATAAAAGCATATATGTACAAACCAACTAATGCTGATTAATTGTTTTTAGATTTATATTTTCATGATCTGAATAATTTGTGAATTATTGAGCAAATAATATACACTATCAAAAATAAGCATTACGGTGACCTTGTTAAATAATTAGCTGGCACAGGGGATTAGAGCTAATGTTATCAGCTGGCGCTCTGGTTGACTGAATAAGAAAAGAGCTGGCAGCGTAAGGGTTAAGACCTGTCTAGACTATCAAATTTCATTTGACAGCAAAAATGTGACATGTCTAAATATTTTCATGATGACATCACATCATGACTATATAATAGGTACACAATAGTTTTTGTTTTTTTTTTGTCAAAGAAAATTTGATAATCTGTACAGGATTTTAGGGAATAGAGGGTTTTTTTTTAGTTGAAAGCAAGATCTTGTCTGTGTCTCAAAGTATTTAATCCCTGTCTTGGGAGTGCAAGCATCTTATCTTATCTTATCTTATCTTATAGTTTGACTGCCATTGTATAGCAATATACCTGAAATATCGGGTGAACTATGCAGTAATTCTCTCAATGGTTGTTTTAGAGTGGGTTTGGTATTTTCAGGTTCATGGCTATTATTTTTGAGGTTTTGCATCTTTCTGTGACTATGTTGTCACTAACTCCATGTTGTTTATAGAATGTTTTAAATGCTTGCAAGTGATCTAGGTGTTAAATTTTCATTGATATTGCATTTTCTGCTGCTATCTAGGGATGTAATTCAATCTTGCCACTAGCGCAAGCTGAGCAGCTTAGCTCAGTCGTGAGCAGGTTAGCTCAGTCGGCTAATCTGGTGGTAGCCACTGTGTGCACTGAACCATGGGGATTTCTAGGTCCCCGGTTCAATTCCCATCGCTGCCTCTAATTGTGTTTCAGCTGGAGGGCTGAAATACAAGTTACAATGGCGCACCGTCTTTCGGATGAGACGTTTAAGCCGTTAGTCCCGTATGCATTTATGGCCCATGTGCATGTTAAAGAACGCAGTACATTCTTCGGAAAAGAGTATTGGATTGTCTCCCGGTGTACTGCCCAATCACCACCAGAAGGACCCCACTGGAAATAAGTCTTCTTCTAGACTTTCGTGGGCTATCCTTGGTGTTTACACCGAATAAATCCAATCCAATCCAATGGCCTGCGGTTATAACTATTTGTATTATTAATATTTTTACATGTTCACATTTAGTGTGAATTTCAGGCAATTCCAAATAAGAATAGTTGAACTATTTATTAATTTGTAACAGTGTGTTTGTGAGTGACATCTTTAATTATTGATGGTTATCTCTTTGTTGTCTTTCTAGGTGGTTTACCCAGCTCTCCTCTATACACTTTTCCAAGCAGTAGGTAACAAAGGTACTGATGCACAGGCTACAAATTTCAACCCAAAATAGGAGATTTACAGGCAGATTTCTGCCACCAGAACACAAAATTACTGTACAGAAGAAGATCACAAGAGATTAATTAGTTGATAACAAAGATAAGTTAAATATACCAGAGATCAAATGCAATCAAATTATAAATTATTGTGTGAAAACTAACCTAACTGATACCTTATTCTCAAAAGAAATGGTTAAAGAGTGTTGGTTGAATTAATGGTGATTATAAATTTATAGATGTTCATATTAATGCATCCATCAAATCAACGACAAACAAAATCAAGTAGAGTAAAGTTTTGATCAGTAAAATACACTTTTAGCATTTGACTGTAAACATGTAATTATTCTTCAGTGATTGTAAGATAAAATGTATTATTTATATATGTATATAATGATGATGTTTGTTAAATTTTACCTATAGGTATTCATATCAGACACAATGGTGTATTGTTTTTCAATATATGGAATGATTGGTTTTATTTTGCTGTCGTAAGCCAGGGACACACTGTGCCGGACGGTTGTCGGCCGACGCGATTCTAGGGAAAATGGAATGCCATGATACGCTCACAACAGATTATTTGTAATGATGATTTGTTCAGACTGCAACCGGCTATCAGTAGACGGTGTTGCGTCGTTTAGCGCTAACAGGTAGTGGAGTTGGATTCGTCTTAAGGTGGTCGTATGGCGCAGTGTGTGCTCGGCTTTAAAGTGGGTGTGGTAGTATTTCTTCGCATATTGTGTTTATATTTGTCAGCATTTTATATCATTTTAATTCATAATAATTTTTATTAATTGCGGTATTGGAGGATACAATCATTGTAATCACAATGATGAATCTCTATAACTGCATAATACATAGTGGTTATGTGTTTTTGCATAATTGTTTGTTGTACTTTTTTGTGATATTTGATTTGTGAGTTTTAATTATTAGGCCTTCAATAATCTTGGTACACTATTTATAAACCTTTGAAATCTTTTAAATACAGAAAAAGCAGGTTAAATCAGCTTCCTGCTTGTCATGCAGTAGAAATACAAACTTGATATTTGATCTAGGCACGCACTTATTCAAATTTTCCATTTATTACGGTACTTGAAAACCATAACTGTAAAACATAATAGTCTGAATCCATGGCATGCTGCAATATCCTCTGATTTACTTATGTGTTCTACTCTGTAATTCTACAGAGTGATTAGCAGACATAGTTTTGACTTCAGACTACAAATACTACACACAAGTATACTAATGCCTTCAGTGTTTAATCATAGATGTAATTGAACACTTTCTAACTCAATAAAACTATTCAACCTCTCGCAAGTAAGGCGCTACATCACAGTGGTGCTTAGTTATGTAGGTTGTATTTATTTTAAATTTTTCAAATTTTGCTCCTAGGACAACAGGCCTATTTTTCCAGTTAACAGTTGGTGCATAACAAAGGTATAGTGATTATGAATTTGTGTTTTAGGTATGTGTTCATCTGCTGTATGATTAGTAAAAATGTACAAATATGTAAGTGTTTGAAATATTGATATCAAAACAATACAGTACTGTTTTTTGCCAATTTGCCAATAAATCCTTTACAAATTTAAATAGTTTTTAATGAGCATTTTTTTCCCCTAGTGTATTGCTATCATATCATTTCAGTGAATGCAGTTTCTGCATTGTGAAAGTGGAATAATTCTCATCTTAATCATGGTACAAAGATAAATATTATTGTTTTATAAGAATAACGAAACTATTGCTTTGAGATTAATATCTAAATTCTTAATAAATTAGGACCAGACACAGAAATAGAAAAAAAAAATGACTTTTCCCGAGTCAAACATATGGAATTATAATCACGAAAATTGTTACCCGTATGTTTACTGATTATCATATATATATTTATTTCACCAGTAAAACGAAAACAGTGTGACTGACTGGCCGGATTGCCCGTGGCAAAAGCAACCCAAAGTTATTGTCACAAGGCTCTCCTGGCAGCACAAAAATTCATAATACATTCGAGTATAGAAAAATATAAATAAACCCATCACTTTCAAAAATTTCATTTAAAATGTAAAAGAATAATATAATCATAGAGAAGCAAGATTTTTTTTTTTATAATGAAACTTTTAATATGAATATTTTAATTAAATAGATATGGAATAAAACTTCTCACTCAATTCAACACTTGTAGTTGGACATGAAAAATATCAATTGAATGATTTACACACATTGATTACCAGTCTTTGTGTTAAGAAATTAGCAATTGTGTCTTATATGATAGAAAATTTCTGACTTCAGTACATAGAAGGCGTAGTAAATGACCTATCATTTTAAAGCTTATAATCAATCAATCAATCAATCAATCAATCGATCAAAATATTTATATAGCGCCAATATCCAAAAGTGTTCAGTGGCGCTGTCGCACTTGTTCAAAATGCTCTTGAAAAAAGGAAAGCTTTCAAATTGCTCCTGAACACGTTCGAATTTGGTGAGTTCTGTATTTCAATGGGCAATTTGTTCCATAAATATGGTGCAGCACAGAAAAAAATACGCTTCCCGAAAGATTTTAAATTCCATCTTGGTGTGTATAACTGATGTTTTTCAGAAGACAGAAGGGGATCTTGATGGTTGCAAATCCTGAAGAATGTTGCATATATAGTTAGGAGCATGATTATTGAAAGCTTTCTAAGTTAACAATAAGGATTTTGAATTCAATTCTGTAGTGAACTGGAAGCCAGTGGAGATCTTTTAGAACAGGTGTGATGTGATCAGACTTTCTCTTCTTAACAATGATTCTGGCAGCTGCATTTTGTGTTCTTTGAAAAATAATGCGGAGAATATTAATATATTTAAAAGTTAATTTTCTTGTTATGGTTGCTGATGCTGGGTTGTGGCATGGCAAGCCCCATATTTATTAACGAAAATACAAACTCAAGCAATGCTATATACGGAATATGCCTGCCTCCAACAAATTCTGTTTTGTATCATATATTTTATTCTGAAATTGGGTTGATTTTTGTGGTTCATTTCTTTTTAGAGGCATGTTATTATTCCAATATGTTGCTCTAAAAATAGATTTACTTGAAATTGAGCTGTACTTTAAGGGTGCATGTGCATTATTGTTTCTGTTGTGCTCTTTTGAGCAGCCTTTTAAAACTGCTTCTTGTCCTTTTGTCCGTACAGCACTGAAACATGAAATACAGACAATTAACATGGAATTCTACATTCCTCCACTCCCTTAGATATTGGTAAAGGTTGAAAGGCAATTTGGCTACTCTCGGAATGTACTAGCGTTTGAGTGTATTTGTATTGAATTACTTTGTTAAATGTATCAGATTATGAAAATCCTTAAAATGATGACTAGCCAATTTGAAGTTTTATGCAACAAAATACAGGAATGGTTATTATACATTTACAAGATACAAAATGACTTTATTGCAAATTTATTACAAATTTGAAGTGTACAGAGTAATTTAAAGTAATAGTATTAAAGATGATGAAAATATTTAAAATACACCAGTAAATCAGTTAAAATAAGAAAGCTGGAGAACACAATACAACATTAAAATACAAGGGAAATGTATAAAAATTGAAATAAAATAAAGAGAGAAAAAAAATTATATTAAAGTGCCTCTGCCACCTATTCTGACAATTTTTATAAACTACAGCGTGTTTATATTTGTAAATATATTATAAACACAAGTGTTGGTAATATATTACGAATAAAATTGATTTTGTACGAAAAAAAATGAGTTTAAAGTGTCATTTTTGAAAGACCTTAGAAACAAAGAGGTCACTCAATGACGTCATTGGTGACCGACTTTGCCAAACTTCATCCAAGCGCGAAATCAAAACAAACACTGCGACGGTGGCTAAGTGCACACGAAGTAAATGTTTTACGTTACCTAAAGATAGTAAAAAGACGTTGTTGAGTTAACTTTGTCAATTTTACAATTCAAATTTTCATGGGCTGGATGAGCACAAGTCAAAAGAATTCGTGTGCTCACTTCGTGGATGATCACTTCATGTGGATTCAAAACGACGTTGGGCTTGCAATGCAAACTAGGCCTAGCTCTGGGAGATCTTGCTATGTCTACTATTAAAAATCAGAGATGATCAAGTCCAGTGAGAAAAAGAATCCATCCAGGCTAGGGCCTGAGGCCTAGTACGGCAAATAAAACAACAAGTAGCCTATGCTAAGTACCGGGTTTCGGGATCCTCGCATTACTTGTTTACTTGTATCCCAAGAGTCTTCAACAGTCTAGGCCTATAATAAGGCTGCCCTAATCAATGATGGGTATGAGGTGGTCTTAACTTCCCTGACCCCTCTAGCCTATAGGCCAAGACCTAATTCAAATTCCCAGTTGCAGTTGTTAATTTACACGTGCCGCCATTTTTTTTTTCTGTTTTGATTATTAGTAGGGCCTAGGCTAGGTCTAGCCTGGTGGTGGGCCTATGACTGTAATTCAATAAGTAATATCACTTACAGGTACCTCTCATTGTTTACGGCTGAACATCTTTTAAACAAATCTTGCAAAAGTCCGTAGATCTAGGCCTATAGGCCTAGTACCGTATTTAGCGTAGGTTGTTTGTTTTTTGGTTTTAATTGCCTTTTTTACTGTCTTCTGTCTAGGCCTAAGCAGCAAGCAAAAAAAAAAAAATCGCATCCCATTTTTTGGTTGATGATAAAGCAATCTTAAATTTGCGGCGGTTTCGGTAAAAGATGCTGAAGGCCAGGGAGATCGAAAATTTCGCCTTCATGGTTCAAGTTTCTACAAAGGCCTAGGCCTATAGCCTATCTACCTAGGCATATCCATGTCTTTGTCCTTGCGCTATGAATGACTGAATAAAAAATACGTTTTTCTAGCTAGCGCTTTATAATATTACAAAATTATAACTTTTGTTTGTTACGCGCGCATCCACTGTCACATGTATAAAACGCGCGAACACTCTTCCTATCCATTTTTAATACACATGAACTATTTATTTATGATGGAAGAATAAGGATTTATGATACCGTACGTACAGTACCTACACCTAAAATTTGGCAAAGTCGGTCACAAATGACGTCAGGGCTTATAAACATAGGTGTGTAATACAATACTTGGCCATAATGTCCACCAAGGGATTAGTCCCTTGATGTCCACCAGGGCAGTCTTGGTGTTTTCATTGTTCAAAAGACACCATTGTATTTCTAGGCCTATACCTTGTAAAACTCTTTTTATCACTTCACTCTATTTACGTGTTTTTAATAACCCATGGGAAATAACAGGCGATGTTATTTTGTAATAAATCCTTTAAATAGTACATAACCAGGGCTTATAAACATAGGTGTGTAGTACAATATTTGGCTTAAGTATCGTATTACACTTGCATATAAACCCATCAATGTTTAACAGTGTTAACATAAAAAAGAACTCTTTTTTCCCAGCAAATAAAAAAGAACTTTGTAAGCCAAACTTTTGTGATTTTTAATTTACTACCTGTGAATTTATCTGTCTGTATTTGTATTTGTTTTGTAATTTGAGTTTTAGCCAGTAAAATATACACTAAATAGGGCCTACATACTGATATCTCTCAATGTCAAATTATGAGAAAAGCAACAGAGGCATCTATTGAAAGCTTGATAAGGGAGTGCCAAAATGAAACATTCCATAAAGCTACAGGATTCCTAGTACAGGTATTTTGATAACGCATGTAATCTCATATTGTGTGACCATAAGTTTGTTTTATACATTGTTCACTGGAGAGTAAAACTAGAGCCTTGCTGACAAACTGTTTTTCTTGAAATTCAATCATTGTATACACTGGTTTAAAAAGGCATACCGACCAGGGTTTAAAAAATACCCATTATGCCTACAAACCACCTGAAACATTTTTATTTTAAACATTCTTAGGTTTTAGAAAGCTACCTTTTGTTCATCGACTCTCCCTAAAGTCTTCCAAATTATATTTATGCCTATATTTTATTTTTTAGTTTCACTCATTTTCTGGTTAGTTTACATTTTAAATTTGGGTTTAGTTTTGTTTTCGTACAATTGCTAAATGTAATTTAATTTCGGCTCCTGGCACGTTTATATTTGAAAATATCTGTTGCTTATTTTTATTGAGAGGTTTGTTCGTAGTGTATGGGAGCAGGCTATACTGTATTGTATGTGCCTATTTTCGGTGGCACTGGATTGCATTTCTGGTTCTCAAACTTTAGTCAGGTCTTCTGGACCTGTCTCTTGTCCCTTTGTATCAAGCACTGGAGCACCAATAAGTAGCTTCAATTGTATGGAAACGCCAGGGAGCTGCGTCTCGTCCTTGCTACTGATTATTAATAATTCAGCCTGTATGTTAGAACATATAATCTGTGGTTAAACCAAGAACTTGGTTAGACCTGCAGGCCCGTACGCAGGATTTTTACTGGGTGGGTGCGAATCTTTAGAGTCACATGGCTGGGGTCCACAGATTCCTGCTGGAGTCGAGTTGGCGGAGCCCCCTCGCGCTCAGACATTTTTGATAACTTGATTCTGAAGATGCAATATCAACAGTATTAAACGGTTTTTCAGGGTTGAGGGGGGGGGGGAGGGTGCTAGGGAGAGACTTTCACAGATGGAGGG